CTTGTAGGTGTTTGTCTCTGTCTGAGGGGTTGGAGCAAATGTGGTTGTATCACAGAGCTTGGCAGTAGACAATGGATCGTGTGGTGTGGTCAGGGTGAAAGCTGGAGGCATGTAGGTAGGAATAGCGGTCAGTAGGTTTCCGGTATAGGGTGGTGTTTATGTGACCATCGTTTATTAGCACTGTAGTGTCCAGGAAGTGGATCTCTTGTGTGGACTGGACCAGGCTGAGGTTGATGGTGGGATGGAAATTGTTGAAATCATGGTGGAATTCCTCAAGGGCTTCTTTTCCATGGGTCCAGATGATGAAGATGTCATCAATATAGCGCAAGTAGAGTAGGGGCGTTAGGGGACGAGAGCTGAGGAAGCGTTGTTCTAAGTCAGCCATAAAAATGTTGGCATACTGTGGGGCCATACGGGTACCCATAGCAGTGCCACTGATTTGAAGGTATACATTGTCCCCAAATGTAAAATAGTTATGGGTAAGGACAAAGTCACAAAGTTCAGCCACCAGGTTAGCCGTGACACTATCCCCAGGTTAGCCGGGGATAGTGTTCTTGACGGCTTGTAGTCCATCTTTGTGTGCAATGTTGGTGTAGAGGGCTTCTACATCCATAGTGGCCAGGATGGTGTTATCAGGAAGATCACCGATGGATTGTAGTTTCCTCAGGAAGTCAGTGGTGTCTCAAAGGTAGCTGGGAGTGCTTTAGCGTAGGGCCTGAGGAGGGAGTCTACAGAGCCAGACAATCTTGCTGTCAGGGTGCCAATGCCTGAGATGATGGGGCGCCCACGATTTCCAGGTTTATGGATCTTGGGTAGTAGATAGAATATCCCAGGTCGGGGTTCCAGGGGTGTGTCTGTGCGGATTTGATCTCGTGCTTTTTCAGGGAGTTTCTTGAGCAAATGCTGTAGTTTCTTTTGCAAAAAGAAAAGGAGTACTTGTAGCACCTTAGAGACTAACCAATTTATTTGAGCATGAGCTTTCGTGAGCTACAGCTCACTTCATCAGATGTATACCGTGGAAACTGCAGCAGACTTTATATACACACAGAGATCATGAAACAATACCTCCTCCCACCCCACTGTCCTGCTGGTAATAGCTTATCTAAAGTGATCATCAGGTGGAAATGGCCCACCTGATGATCACTTTAGATAAGCTATTATCAGCAGGACAGTGGGGTGGGAGGAGGTATTGTTTCATGATCTCTGTGTGTATATAAAGTCTGCTGCAGTTTCCACGGTATACATCTGATGAAGTGAGCTGTAGCTCACGAAAGCTCATGCTCAAATAAATTGGTTAGTCTCTAAGGTGCTACAAGTACTCCTTTTCTTTTTGCGAATACAGACTAACACGGCTGTTACTCTGAAACCTAGTTTCTTTTGGTAACTCTCAGTGGGATCAGAGGGTAATGGCTTGTAGAAAGTGGTCTTGGAGAGCTGCTGAGCAGTCTCTTGTTCATATTCTGACCTATTCATGATGATGACAGCACCTCCTTTGTCAGCCTTTTTGATTATGATGTCAGAGTTGTTTCTGAGGCTGTGGATGGCATTGTGTTCTGCACGACTGAGGTTGTGGGGCAAGTGATGCTGCTTTTCCACAATTTCAGCCCGTGCACGTCGGCGGAAGCACTCTATGTAGAAGTCCAGTCTGCTGTCTCGACCTTCAGGAGGAGTCCACCTAGAATCCTTCTTTTTGTAGTGTTGGTAGGGAGGTCTCTGTGGATTAGTATGTTGTTCAGAGGTAGTGTTGGAAATATTCCTTGAGACGGAGACGCCGAAAATAGGATTCTAGATCACCACAGAACTGTATCATGTTCGTGGGGGTGGAGGGGCAGAAGGAGAGGCCTTGAGATAGGACAGCTGCTTCTGCTGGGCTAAGAGTATAGTTGGATAGGTTAACAATATTGCTGGGTGGGTTGAGGGAACCACTGCTGTGGCCCCTTGTGGCATGTAGTAGTTTAGAAAGTTTAGTGTCCTTTTTCTTTTGTAGAGAAGCAAAGTGTGTTTTCTTTTGTAGAGAAGCAAAGCGTGTGTTATAAATGGCCTGTCTAGTTTTAGTAAAGTCCAGCCACGAGGAAGTTTGTGTGGAAGGTTGTTGTTTTATGAGAGTATCCATTTTTGAGAGCTCATTCTTTATCTTTCCCTGTTTGCTGTAGAGGATGTTGATCAGGTGGTTCCGCAGTTTCTCTGAGAACGTGGAGCACAAGCTGTCAGCATAGTCTGTGTGGTATGTAGATTGTAATGGATGTAATGTAATGTAATGTATGTAATGTAACCCAGGAACCTATCCTTGCAACAAAGCCCATTGCCAACTGTGTCCACATATCTATTCAGGGGACACCATAATAGGGCCTAATCACATCAGCCACACTATCAAAGGCTCATTCACCTGCACATCTACCAATGTGATACATGCCTTCATGTGCCAGCAATGCCCCTCTCCCATGTACATTGGCCAACCGGACAGTCTCTACGTAAAAGAATAAATGGACACAAATCAGACGTCAGGAATTATTACATTCAAAAACCAGTTGGAGACCACTTCAATCTCTCTGGTCACTTGCTTACAAACCTAAAGGTTGCAATTCTTCAACAAAAAAACTTCAAAAACAGACTCCAACAAGAGACTGCTGAATTGGAATTAATTTGCAAACTGGACACCATTACATTAGGCTTGAATAGAGACTGGGAGTGGATGGGTCATTACACAAAGTAAAACTATTTCCCCATGTTTATTTTCCCCCCTCCCGTCCCCGTCCCCTCCCGCACTGTTCCTCACACGTTCTTGTCAACTGCTGGAAATGGCCCACATTGATTATCACTACAATAGGGTTTTTTTCTCTCCTGCTGGTAATAGCTCACCTTACCTGATCACTCTCCTTACAGTGTATATGGTAACAACCATTGTTTCATGTTCTCTGTGTATATAAAATCTCCCCACTGTATTTTCCACTGCATGTATCCGATGAAGTGAACTGTAGCTCACGAAAGCTTATGCTCAAATAAATTTGTTAGTCTCTAAGGTGCCACAAGTACTCCTTTTCTTTTTGTGGACATGTTTAGTCCTTGCTTCTTGTGGAGCCCCTTTAGGTGCTCCAACAGCTTAATGGAGTTTCAAATAGGCCCAGTGTGCCTAGTGTCCCCGCTAAGCCCTTTAAAATTCAGATCTTTAGTTTTAGGTCACATACCTGCTCCTAGTCATGTGTCCTACCACAAATTGCACATATGGCTTCATGGCAACAGACGGCAGCACCAGGATCAAGAAAGGATTTGGCTTTCTGCACTTGTCAGGTGGAAAAGCAGGTCTGTCCTTAGGCATACACAGAATATGCAGCTGCCTTGGGCACCACAAAATTTGGGGCCCTACGCAGCTGTGTGCTTCGCATGCGGCAGCCAGCCCCATCCCCCAGCTGGCCCCCCTGTGGGGTGCACCCACTGCAAGGGGCAGGGATGTTCCTAGGGCGGTGCAGGGCCTGGGACAACTCCCTCCACCCCTGCCTGGCGCTGGTAGTAGGGGTCAGGCCTACCCCGGCACTCACCGGCGGTGGCGGGAAGCAGAGCAACCCAGCCCACCACATTCCACTGGCTCCCGGCGCCGGTGAGTGCGCAGGGTGGAGGACCCCTTCCCCCAAGCCCCCTCCCCTGAGTCACACAGCTGGGGCAGGGGGAGCAGAGCGGGCTGGGTCGTTCTGCTTCCTGATGCCGGCACCAGGCCCTCCGCTAATCCCCCAGGTCGCTCTGGGCCTATGGGGCCCCCCAAAGCTGCTGCCTCTGTGGCCCCACAGGCCTTGAGCGCAGTCCAGACCCTCCGCGGGGGGTGGGGGGAAGCAGGTGCTCAGACTGCGTTGGGCACCCTTAATTGGTAGTGACGGGGCTGTGGAAAAACCTGAGAAAGATATCTGCAGGGACCAGGAGCTGGTTGTGGGGGAAATCTCAGCTGGGAAGAGATATGAAGCCTCCATGGGATAGTGATACTGTTTACCGTTATGGGTTGCTTTGCATCTTCATTAATGGAAGTCCTGAGTGGAGCTGTGTTGTTGTATGGAGGTGGATTCCACCTCCCTGGCTGGTGGATTGGCTCCCCAGCGGACAGTGAGATATTGTGCTGTGTAAATAATCGAGGATACATTTTTAAATGTATATTTTAAACAGGGCATCTAGGGTACCACGAGTCTGAGAATCCACGACGCAGTCTCTTGCTGTAGATGTGCTACAAAAATAAATCTCACTTGCTGCACTCCATCTACTGCAAATAGGAATTCAGTGGGCTTTGTGAAAACTCACTGCGGTGGATAGTGACAGGTTTCAGAGTAGCAGCCGTGTTAGTCTGTATTCGCAAAAAGAAAAGGAGGACTTGTGGCACCTTAGAGACTAACCAATTTATTTGAGCATAAGCTTTCGTGAGCTACAGCTCACTATGCTCAAATAAATTGGTTAGTCTCTAAGGTGCCACAAGTCCTCCTTTTCTTTTAGCGGTGGATAAGAGTTTGCAGCACTGGGGCCTAAGACTGTAACCTCGAGGGAGGGGTCTGCAGAGGGTCTCCAGCACTTAGGGTCACCACCAGCTCTGCAGGCCGAGCGCAGCCGCCACTGCCAGGGAAGGGTGGGGGGGGCTCAAGATTGCAAGGGCAAGCGCGAGCGCACCATTCCCCTCAGCGGCCCGAGCGGGCAGGAGGACCCCCAGCTGCTGCTCCAAGCCCGGGGGTCCATGCCCCGCCCCCCCAGGATGGCCTAGGAACAGACGGCTCCGATCTGCCCCTCGACCGCCCAGTCTCGGGCCGCTCCTAAGAGATCCCCCTCTAGCCCCGCCCACTCCGCACGAGCCGCTCCTTCTGAGACCAGTGCTCCGCTCGCTGCAACATCGCGGGCTTGGAAACCCTGCCTCGCAAGATGGCTGCGCCAGCCCCACCCCTCGCCTCGCGCAGACACTGCCTCCGGCCCCGGCCGGCGCGCACGCGCGGGCGAGGCGCGTCCCCGATGACGTCACGCGCAGCGCCAACCTGGCCCCTCCCCCCTCTCTCCTGCCGGCTCCGAAGAGCGGCGAGGCTGAGGCGGCGCCTTCTGGAAGCTTCGCGGCGGGGATCGTTAGTGCGGGTGGGCCAGGGTGATCCGTCTCCATCCGGAGCTCAGAAGCAGCGGGGCGCGGAGGAGTCGCCATGCCGGAGAACGCGGGGCCCAGAGCTTTCCCGGGCGGCAACGGGGGCCGCAAAAGAGGCGCCTACCAGGACCGGGACAAGCCCGCGCAGATCCGCTTCAGCAACATCTCCGCAGGCAAAGGTGCGGCCCGCCCGGCGGAGGCTGGAGCGGGGGAAGAGCGGCCTGGCGCGGGAGAGGCTGGAGCGGGGCGGGGACGCGGCTCGGCCTGGGGAGGGAGCGGCCTGGCCTGGCCTGGCGAAGGAAGGGGACTGAGGAAATCTTTCTCCCCCAGCTCACAGCGGGAGGAGGGCGGGGGGACTCAGACTCGCTCGCTGTCCCATTCTTCCCGCTTCTGTGCGCGGAATAGGAGGCGGCGGCGGCTTCTTCCTATAGTCGCTGACCCCCCTCAGCCCCATCGTCATGGGGAGGGGAAGAGACTCCATCACACGGACCGTGCCCCTCCCCCGCCGGCGGGGCCAGATGCCTTCATCTTGAGCGGGTTTTGGAGCAGTCGGGGCCCTCCGCTGTCAGGCTGGCTCCGCGCTCTCCAGGCTGCTCTGGTTCTGCTCTATCATTCTGTACGGTTTTCCTGTTCATGTGGGCCTGACCGCTTCAGGCACAGCCTCTGGGCCGTTTCTTCCCTTAAGTGAACACAGCATGGGCCTTTTCTGTTGGGAAGAGAGTCTTCTCGCCACCCCCCACCCCCCCCGGTATACTAGTGGGTTTTTCTTTCTTTTTTTAAAAGTAGTAATTGTTATGGTGCCAGGACCAGAAGCTGGTGGAAAATAATGCTATAGTTGGTAATTGACGCAAGCCTTGGTCAAAATACATGCATTGTAACCCACTATCAGACCAGTGAAACTATTCAGCGTTTTTAAGCCTGTGTGGCACGTAATATTGTTGGGACCCCCATTAGGTTTTAAAATACTTCATTTAAGCATAGAGGATTAGGGTTGGAAGAAACCTCCGGAGGTCATCTAGTCCAGCCCCCTGCTCAAAGCAGGACAAACCCTGACTAAATCATCCTAGCCAGGGCTTTGTCAAGCTGGGCGTTAAAAACCTCTAAGGATGGAAATTCCACCACCACCCTAGGTAACCCATTCTAGTGCTTCACCACCCTCCTAGTGAAATAGTATTTCCTAATATCCAACCTAGTCCTCCCCCACTGCAACTTGACACCATTGCTCCTTGTTCTGTCATATGCCACCACTGAGAACAGCCAAGTTCCATCCTCTTTGGGACCCCCCCCCCCTTTCAGGTAGTTGCTATCAAATCTCCCATCACTCTTCTTTTCTGCAGACTAAACAAGCCCAGTTTCCTCAGCATGTCCTTGTAAGTCATGTGCCCCAGCCCGGATCATTTTCGTTGCCCTCTGCTGGACACTCTCTCCAATTTGTTCACATCCTTTCTGTATTGGGGGTCCCAAAACTGGACGCGGTACCCCAGATGTTGCCTCACCAGTGCTGAATAGAGGGGAATGATGACGTCCCTCGATCTGCTGGCAATGCTCCTACTAATGCAGCCCAATATGCCGTTAGCCTTCTTGGCAACAAGAGCACACTGCTGACTCATATCCAGCTTCTCATCCACTCTAATCCCCAGGTTCTTTTCTGCAGAACTGCTCCTTAGCCAGTCAGTCTCCAGCCTGTAGCGGTGCATGGGATTCTTCCGTACTAAGTGCAGGACTCTGCACTTGTCCTTGTTGAACCCCAGCAGATTTCTTTTGGCCCGATCCTCCAATATGTCTAGGTCACTCTAGACCCTATCTCTACCCTCCAGCGTATCTACCTCTCCCCCCAGCTTCGTATCAACTATGAACTTGCTGAGGGTCCATCCCATCATCCAGATCATTAATAAAGATGTTGAACAAAACTAGCCCCAGAACCAACCACTGGGGCCAGCGCTTGATACCGGTTGACAGCCAGACATCGAGCCGTTGATCACTACCTGTTGAGCTTGACAATCCAGCCAGCTTTCTATCCTCCTTATGATCCACCTTAAATAATCAGCTGTTGATTGTTTTTACCATGTTCCAGGGCCTTGTCTACACCACAAAGTTTTGTCGGTAAAAGTTATGCCACTTTAATTAAAGCACTTTAATTAAAAGCACTGTTGCATGTCCACAGTAGCTGCTTGTGTCAGCAGAGCACCACACTAACAGCTGTGGCATCAACACAGAAAGCTGCACTGTAGTAGCTATCCCACTGTGCAACTGGCCGCAGGGTGCTTTGGGAAGGGTTTGCAGTGCCTCTTGGGGCAGGTACAGCTTCACGTGATCCCCGATTCTCAATCCCATCGTTCCAGGGGCATCCTAGTAGATTGTCAGCTGCTTTTTCAATTTAAGTATGTGGGAGAGGAGAGTATGTCTGGGACAGGGGAGACCGCAGCCTGGCCGACCTATCCTGGGGGAGGGCAACCCCTCACGTCAGCCCCACTTCTGTTCTGCACACCTGTCCCAGACAGCTTGTTCTGCCTGCCTGTGGCTCTGTGATTCCCTCTGGCTCTCTCACAGCCTCCTCAGCTTCTGGCAGCATCTTGTGAGCAGCTCTGGGAGCTCTCTGTGCTGAGGAATGTCAAAGCAGCACAGCAGTCTTCCCTCTCTTTCCCCCCCTTGCTCCCTGCAGCAGCAGTCTGCCTACCCCTGTGTTCCTAGTGCAGGGCAGAACAGGAGCATTCCATGCTAATGATTTGCTCTTTGTTTCCCAAATGCAGCAGCATGCTCAGCTGTCAGATACTTCCCAGAGCTTTGAAAGGGGAGGGGCACATGCCTGCAGGGCAGCAGAGATCAAAACAGTGAGCAGTGCAGGCATTGTGTGATACTGGTGGAAGCCAGTTATGTGGTCAAAACAAACAGCAGCATCTACACTGATGCTTTGCTTTGTCATTTTAACTTTGCGGCAAAAAGCTTTGCCTCTCATGGAGGTGGTTTTAATTTGGCGGCAAGAGAGCAGAGTTTTGCCGCCAAAGGTAGCTTTGTAATATGTACACCCCTGTTTTGTAGGCAAAAGGCAGCTTTTGGTGACAAAACTTTGTAGTGTAGACAAGGCCCAGGTGTTGGAATCAACCATGAAAGCCATACACTTTATTTTTTCCTAAGTGTATTTATGCCATATCAGTAAGTTTTTCAGACTTTTAATAAACCAGTAAGACTTTTAATAAAGTGGAACTAAATGGCTCCATGTGAGAGTTTATCAGAGTTTTCTGTCCATTTCTGTTCAGAAGAACTGATTATGTTCAGACTGTTATAGTTTTTGTAAATTTCCTTAGCATTTACCAGTTTTAATTTAAAGCTGAATGTCAGTGACTGTTGCGTAAAAGCATCTCATTTTCACTCCCTCTTCAGCGGTTGCTGATGCTATTAGAACAAGCCTTGGACCAAAAGGAATGGATAAAATGGTAAGCTTTGATTCACATGTCTAATTATTTTTAAAACCAATTATAAATATTTAAGGAAATGTCAAGAGTTTTTTACAAGAATAGTTTCCCTTTTTTTTATATTTGTTAATCATCAAGATAACTTCTAGTTACATAAACATATATTGATGATTATTGTTGGAAAAGGTACTATATTGAAACTTTAATCGTAGTAAGAAGCCCTTTGGTTTAAAGGGAACATCAAATGTTTTATAGATCTTAATGTTAAAAAATGTCTTCTGCATCTAAGGTCATAAGTAGTCACAGGTATTTTTAGTAAAACTCATGGACAGGTCACAGGCAGTAAACAAAAATTCACGGCCCGTGACCTGTCCATGACTTGTACTATATACCCTGACTAAATCTTGGGGGAGGGGGGTGGCCCAAGAAGGCTGGGGCAGGCTCCCTACCCAGCTTCACGCCTCCCCAGAAGCAACAACAGCCCCCTCAGTCAGCTCCTAGGCGGAGGTGTGGCCAGGCAGCTCTGTACTATGCCCTGAGCGACGGCTCCGCAGTTCCCATCGGCCAGGAACCGCAGCCAGTGGGGGGGCGGTACCAGCAGGTGGAGGCAGTGCACAGAGCTGTCTGGCCATGCTTTCCACCTAGGAGCTGAGGGAGGGGAATGTTGCAGCTTCCGGGGAGCCCCCTGAGGTAAGCGCTACCTAGAGCCTGCCTCACCCCATCCCGTGCCCCAGCCCCCTGCCCCCTTCCACACCTAAACTGCTTCTGGTGGGGGCGGGGTGGCCGGATACTGCCCCAGCAGCGGCCGGTGCAACTGGCCCAGGGGCTGCTCGAGCTGCTAGTCGGTCCCCTATCCAGGCACACCGGCCACTGCAGACGTCACGGAATCCGTGACGACCTTGACAAACTCTCAGCCTTAGTGATAAGTATGTTGTGGGTTTTCTTTTTCCAGATTCAAGATGGTAAAGGAGATGTGATGATTACAAATGATGGTGCAACTATTCTGAAACAAATGCAGGTTCTACATCCTGCAGCCAAAATGGTAAATAACTTTTAATTTCAACCTGTAAACCAGTATATCCCAACCTGGTTGGCAGAAAAATCTAAGGAGGCACCAGATTAATTCAGGGTGTTCATGGAGCTGAGGAGAGGATAAGTGTGGTTCTAGAAAGCTGCAGGGCACTCAAGTACACTGGTGTTGCGGCACAGCAAGTCTGTAATGCACTGAAGTTCTCACCTTGATGCTCTTTACATGGATCTTGGGGGTGGGGACAGCCTAAAAATCCAAACTTCAAATGATGGTTTGAGTGTAATGCAATAATTAAGCTTTATGTATTCTGTGCAACAGTGGTTTATGGGAGGATTCTTAGATTCTGATTAACTGACAGTAAACTAGGAATCCTTACTCTAATCCCTGTCATAATGTCATGGGTTAAAGTTATACTTTGGGACAATGCCTGTATAAATGAGCAGTGTTGCTGGTCAGTCAAGAAGCAAGGACCTCATAGAACATGTTATGTTCTATTTTGCTTATACACAGGTATAAGTGGGATAAAATATGTATGTGTAACTTTTGTAACCTTGGAAAAATATATACACGCACAAAATTAAGGAGGAACCAGTCTGTATATTTAAAGTTAATAAGTAAAACCACTCTTTAAGCAATCCCCAATGGAATATTAAATATTTTTTCTTGTTACTTTTATGCACCACTGGTACTTAATTAACTGGTTCCAATAAATCATGTCACAAGTTCTCAAACTGTCTTCATTTAGTTGGTAGAGCTGTCCAAGGCACAAGATATTGAAGCTGGTGATGGCACCACATCTGTTGTTATCATTGCTGGTGCTCTCTTGGATGCATGTTCCAGACTTCTTCAGAAGGGTATGTTTTACTGGTTGGCTTTAATAAATCGAAAAGGGAAGATGCCTGGAAGAGTTAATTATATATAACTGAATTTTAATAAGATTTGTTTTTGGTTAATGAAAGTCCATTAACTATAACTTTTTAGTGGTAAAACACTTATTTGAAAAGTAACTCAAAAGAGTTTTGTTTCTGTACTTGTTAATGTCTTATTTCTGGTGGCAGTCTCAAATCATTTAGCTTCATATTTTTTGAGGTTGAATCTGCTTCCAGTGTTACGGATCAAGTATAACTATTAAAATGCTGAGATACCTTATGAAATTTTTAATAGATAGTAGTTCATGATGGGTGAAATAGTCTGGTATGAAGAAATTAACCCAAAATTGGGAGCTAGGAACTCTTGCTGGGCTTTGAGCAAATCACCTGGTGTTTGTAAAATAGAGATTTATTTCACAGGATTGTTGAGAGGATTGATGTTTGTAAAAGACTTCGAATGTGTAAAGCAGTATAAATTCTTGTGAGCACTAGCAGTTCTGTTGTACCAATTCAGTGAGGCGAACAGCATGCCAGCAGCAACCAGATGCTGTGTGAAGAATCCAGTAGGGGCTGAACAGAACAGTTTATATTCCTTGCTTCAACAAATGGTTTTTATTTTAAATTTCTCTATTTTTTTTAAAGGATTGCTTTTCAAACAAAAAACCTTAAATCGAAAAAAGCTTGCCTCAAATAGGAATTGATCTTTTCCTCTGTTTTACAAAGCAGTCGTGCAATGCTTCTCTGCCCCAACAGTGCTCATGCAGGTCAACTCATAGGGTGGCAGGTGAGCCCTGTCAGCTTTTAACCCTACTATCACAAAAGTACAGTAAGCATATAAGCAGTAGTCCAATGATACTGGTGCTGAACAGTGGAATGGTCTGCAAGGCTAGTCACTTCATTAAATAAGCACATTGGAATTATCAAAGGGGGACGCTTGTAAGTAGTCTCCTATATTAAGGCAGAACTAACTTGTCGGACCTGAAGTGAACTGCATTACCATCTGAGAGGAGGGATGTAGTTAAAACAGTGGACTGGGACTGGAGAGATCTGGATTCGGTTCCCAATTTTTGTCATGACTTTGTGTGACCATGGGCAAATCACTAGAATCTCTTTGTACCTCAGTTCTACATGTATAAATTGGGGAATGATGGTACTTCCTTATCTCAGTGGTAAATTCATTAATGACTGTGAAGCACAGGGATACTGTGTTGATGAGAAGGCCATATAAATATCTGAATAGATCAAATATACTAAAAGTACATGACTGTGTGTATAAATTTATTAAATATAACCTAGCCTAGAATGGTCCTTATTAATGTAGTATCTCTAGGTAACACTTGGCTCTCTCTCTTTGTAAAATGCTGACATAAATTTGTGGGTAGTATCCAGATAGCTAGGAACAGGGTTATTCAGCACATACATGGCCTTTTTGAAAGGTAAGCTTGCAGTAATGTGCTGAATATCCCTTTGTCCTCACTTGCTGTTTGAGAAATTCAGAATAAATATATGGCAATATCATGTTTCAAATAGTTATTCAGTTATCACCTTGAAACCTTTGAAACTCGGGAGAAATTACCATAGAACAGTAAAAAAAGATCCCAATTAAAGTCTGTTTTCAAGCTCAGTATTATTGAGTTTGCATGTTAGTGGGCAATTATAGCCGTGATTTCCAACCTTGTCTTACTAGGCACCTTCACTCGCTTCCCCCCCCCCCCCACCCCCAGGTGCTTGACATCTTGACTTATTACCTATGTACCCTTACACCATCCCCTGCGGTTATTGCCTCATCTTGACAGTTTCTGTCCTCTTTTTTTTCCTTCTTTTCTTCATATTTTGCCATTCTCATTTTTGTTCGTCCTGCCTCGTTTCTTGTCCCACCTCCCAAAGGTTCTGCTCTCTTTTCTTCCCCCTTTACTGCTGCCAGCTGGCCATTCTCTCTAAACCTTCTCCAGCTGCTGGTGTTAGCCAGCAATACTGTCTGCAAGCTCGTCTCTTGCTATAGAAGCAAGAAGTATGGTTTACAGAAAGCGTGTGTGTACCACCAAGAGCAGAAGTAGGTGATGTGCAGCTGGTATTGGCGGCCAAGCAGCTCCTTGTGACAAGGCAAAGGGATATTGGGTGCATCCTAAAGTTGTCTGGAAAAACCCCTTTGGGGGTGATGGTACACCATAAAGGAACTACTGTTAAGGTTACTTAGGTCTAAACTCTGTTTTGTACAATAAAGGTTTTACAAACCTAGAATGAATATCCTTGTTTTTATGACCCTCTTAAAGCTAATGAATACAGTTTTGTGCGATATAAGTATTTGGGCTTCAAACACTTCAGGGAGATAATGTGTTGTACTGGCTCATGAGGACTAATAAGTAAAATTGAGGCAAGTTCACTTTCATTATTCAAGTAGAGAAAACTACAAATAATAAAACTGTTTCTGTTGAAATGTTAGTTTTAGATAATTTGTCACTATCGGTCCAAAAATCAAAGGGTATTGTAAGTGGAATGAACCAGCTTCTAAAATTTTAAGAAAATCAGATGATTAAGTTAAGTGAACAATTAGTCTGAAAACTTGAATTTAAACTTCTAATAGGAATTCATCCCACCATCATTTCGGAGTCATTCCAGAAAGCTTTGGATAAGAGTATTGAAGTCTTGACCGACATGGGACAGCCAGTTGAACTAAGCGACAGAGAAACCTTGCTAAATAGTGCGACTACTTCACTGAATTCAAAGGTAGTAATTATCCAGTTAGTCGGGGTGGATGGGGGGTTATTCAGCCTAACTTCTGTGTAAATTAAATGTATGTGTTCGTGGGTATTGTTTTATACATTTTCTCACTCTGCATGTCATTTGTCCCTTTATTCTATATTTCTATAGTATTTAGCAAAATGAATTCTCTAGATGCTACCATAATACAAACAATAAATACTGATCTTTAAGTCCAGTAATTCATTCATTTATTAGCTGAATTCAGATCTTCTTTGAAATAGACTGTTTTCTTTGTACTGACTTTTTTTGTGTGTGGTTTATATTGTTTCATATGTGCCAGATTAATTGGGAGAATAGATAATTTCAGTAACTGTTCCTGGTCTACTAGAGCGAGCTGACTTTTCATGATGCTGCAATTGATTGACATTAACTTGCAACCTAAAAGTTGAACTGAATTTAATCCTAGTCACGTTTCAGTTTTAAATTTTTATCTACTATATTTAACACCTAAGATCACTAAAGCTGAAAGAACAGTGAAAAAAATTGTCCTCTCTTTCAGTTGGCTTACTTCGAGCATTTACCGTTGTCTTGTGCGTAGTCCATGACACTATTTTCTCTGTTCATGTGGGTTTTTCACACTGCACTAAGGGAGAAACTTTTTTTAAACAGTCATTTTAAGCTGAACTCCCCAAATTGTCAGGGAAAGCTCCCAGAAGCAACTTACTTCTATTCCCTAAAAAGATGAGATTTCAAGTTTACTATGCCTTTAGATGCAAAGACTAGGAAGACCATTTTCATGTAGTTCTATTACATTTTTGAATCAAGTGTTTACTTCAAAAATGTTTCCTCCATATTTGAATAATATTGCAGTTGATTACAAGTGTTACCTACCATATGTTTTCTGACCCTGTTTGCAAAATCCATGCCATTCTTTTATGTCAAGTTAAATGTTTTCTTATTTGCTTTTTTTAATGGGGGAGGAGGGGCCAGAGATCATGCGACCCCCTGATCAGCACAGAGGAGGGGCCTGCGTGCAGAGATCTCACCCTTCTATTGTGGAAATGATGTTGGTTGCCTTTGTGGCACAATCTGTCTCCTTCCTGGGACCCTGCTGAGAGCTTTCCAAAGCCAGAATCTGTACAGGGGGAAGGGGTTTGGGAAGGTCCACATTGGGCAGCAGAGGAGGTGTATAAATGGGTCACTTCCCCCATGGGTCCTGTGGAGTCTATGCAAAAAAGAATAATACAGACCCAGGCTGTACTTTCTTTTCTCTACAAGTCACCGTGCATTAGGGAATTCATTTTAAAGGCATCTCCTGGGGATGACTGAAAACAAAGAGTGGTCTTTCCAACAGAAATATGTGGGGCAGAGCTCTTAGGTTTCCTTCAGTGTTCTACCTGTATGCCAGGTCGCAATACAATTCACTCAGATTTGGTCCGGCCAACCCTGTCATGACTGGGGGGCCAGGCCAAATTCAAGTGGTGGTACAACTCCATGAGTAAGTGGAAAGGCTTGCTGTACCCTCCATAAAGTTTGATGTGCCTACCCCCCTCCCCCCCCAATTGAGAATGATTGTGCTAGGCCTTAGCATAGTTTTTACCACAGAAGCAATTGTCCTACCTTTTGTTGGTAACCCAGCATGTACGAGTAAAACTACAGTAATAAATTAGTTATTGGCAGGGAAAAAATTAAGAAATCAGATTTCATTTTCAAACTATATAGGTTATAAACACAAAAAAGAAAAACAATGAGATTATGAATGCCTTGCGAGTGTAATTTTGAAATTGGTATTATCTTAATTTTGATTATGCCACTAAATTGCATTATTTTTCAGTTGGGTAAAATTTTGTAAGTGTTCTTCCTCACACTAAGTTTGTTTATTTTAATTAAATCCCTTTAGGTTGTATCTCAGTACTCTAGTCTCCTTTCTCCAATGAGTGTGGATGCAGTGATGAAGGTGATTGATCCAACTACAGCTAGCGGTGTAGATCTTAGAGATGTCAAAATCGTTAAAAAGCTTGGGTAAGTAGCAATCCGTATCTAGCAATTCTGTTAATTAAAGTAACTTGTCCAACTTTTAAAAATTGCTTCCCTAAAACATTAATTTCATGTTTTACTACTCTTGTTTCCAGTGGAACAATTGATGATTGTGAACTGGTTGAAGGACTAGTCCTCACTCAGAAGCTGGCGAATACTGGTGTAACTAGAGTGGAAAAAGCCAAGATTGGTCTCATTCAGTTTTGCCTGTCTGCTCCAAAGACTGATGTGAGTTAGCTTGGCCTGCCAAAATTAATATTATCTTCGTGCATGGGGATTTACATGTAATCATACAGTGAAGAAAAAATATACCCCTTAAGGGCTTGTCTACACTACAGAAGCCTTCGCAGTAATTCAGTCGGCTCTTGGTGTCCACACTACCCTCCTCCTGCTGGTGGTGCGCATCCTTACTAGGAGCGCTTGCACTGACTGAAGTGGGGCATGGACAGCCGTGTGGGGCACACAGCAAGAGCCCCCCACCCAGCGGCGGGGTGACAGTCTGAGCTGTGAGCCTGGCATCAGTTTCACGGCTGTCTTTCGCTCAGAGCAGCAGGTCAGGGCTCACCGCTGGAGCTCAATGCTGTGAATTTGAGTCCTGCACTGGGCTCGCAGCTCAGGCTGTCACCCTGGGGTGGGGGCTCCAGCTGTGAGCCTGGCACCCAGCTGACAGCTGGGGGAGGGCCAGCTTAGCCCAGCAGTGAGCCTCCCAGCAGTGAAATTAACATGCTTGTCAGTTTCAGGTGAGCCCAGCAGCCATGAAACTGACAAAAATGACAGCCAACAGCCAAAGTTGCCTTGCCCTAACTACAGGAACATAAGTGCTATGTCTCTTGTGGAGGTGGAGTTATATGATGTCAGTTAGCAGGCCCCTTACTTCGGGGGAAGCAGCATTCTAGTGTAGACATTGAGATGATTAGGTCCATGTAAGCTGCCTTATGTCAACCTAACTCTAGTGTAGACCAAGCCTAAGTCTGTTATCAGTAATACATAACTTTCCTGTTCCATAAACTATATCAGAAGCCCATTAGTTTTAAACTTATCATGTAGTAGTAAAAGGTTGTAACTTAAAACCACAAGTCCTTGCATTGGTACATTAAAATGTACGTGGATGCAATGGTGTATTCAGTCTTGTTTGCCTTGGATCGCAACTGCACTGAATTATAGAAACAGCATGGTATACCTAGAAATGTACTTAAATTTGAGCTTAAATTCAGTAATTTTTGAAGACGTTAAATATTTTTCTCTTTTAATAGATGGACAACCAGATTGTTGTTTCTGACTATGCTCAAATGGATAGAGTATTGCGCGAAGAGAGAGCCTACATTCTAAACTTAGTTAAACAAATTAAAAAGGCTGGATGCAATGTGCTGCTCATTCAGAAGTCTATTCTACGGTATGCTAACTACCTGAAAAAACACTTCTGTTTACTAAGTAACTGTTAGATTGGAGTAAAGCATCGGTACTCTTCATAAGCTGAATTGTAACACTAACATCAAGGGGGGCAATTTCAAACACTGGTTGCCTACGAAACCCCTGTACTTTCAGTGAGCATGGAAGTTCTGTCACACGCCCTCTGAACAATTAACATACCTCCCACTTCACAATTTTTATGTAGTTTTTTTAATAAGCCAGTACTGAAATTCTTCAGTGGGTTTTTATTACTAACTCTGACACAAATCCTAATTATAACTGATAATCACATGCTAGCAATATTGGTTTTATAGTGTTGTGTTTTCATTGTTTGCATTGTCCTTGATTTTAGGGACGCTCTTAGTGATCTAGCGCTACATTTCTTGAACAAAATGAAGATCATGGTGATTAAAGATATTGAAAGAGAAGACATTGAATTTATCTGTAAGGTAAGGAAGTGTTTTATTTAAATAGCTGTGCTGAAGGATATCTATACCCTATCACTACTATATAACTTAAATGGACATAACACCTTGTTTTATTGGAGTGGACTTTGTGATGCCCCCCCCCACACACACACATTGTCTCTCCCTCCCTCCCTCCCTGTGTGTGTGTGTGTGTATATACACACAGTACGAATAAAAAGGATAAATATCTCCAAAAGACTTAACTATACTCTCATTCCCTTTTATCTCCAAGAAAAATAGCAAATGGTCAGACTCTAGTGGGGGGAGAAAAGTAGGGCATCAAAAGACTGAGGAGTACTTGTGGCACCTTAGAGACTAAAATTTATTTGATCATAAGCTTTCGTGGGCTAAAGCCCATCTTTTTGCTGATACAGACTAACACGGGTACCAGTCTGAAACCTGAATTAAAGCAGTTATGAGCCAACTATAATGTATAGAAAGTACGCTAAACTGTATGTTTTGCTTGTTTTATTTGTGGTTTAACTTGTTCCTGTAGACAATTGGAACCAAGCCAGTTGCTCACATTGATCAGTTCATTGCTGATACATTGGGATCTGCTGAATTGGCAGAGGAGGTCAACCTAAATGGTTCCGGGAAGCTAATAAAGGTAAGGAACAGAAATGAACATCTTTCCTTGCTCATTATAAGATAATATAATTTTAAGGAGAGATACCTCACAACTTGCCTTTTGTAGAAATGAATGAGAGCTGTAACTTTTTAGATTTTTCTGTAGTATGCAACAGTATTTACTTCTGTTATCATTGGTATTACTGTAGCACCGAGGACCCCTAGTCATGGACCCCTCTTTATGCTAGATGCTGCGCAAATGCACAACAAAGACAGTCCCTGTCCCAATAGGCTTACTTGATTGTATTGACTTTGAAAACTTGGTGTGGTTTACCAGAGCTCAATCTCCATTAGGTAACTGAATATGTCAAGTCTCAGGCCTTAATCCAGTATAACTTCCATTCCCTGCTAATAGGTAATGTCCCAGATTTTAAATTTCCCTAAGGTTTTTTTGGTCCAACTATGTTTTTATGTTGCAGATTACAGGCTGTACAAGCCCTGGAAAAACTGTTACAATTGTGGTACGTGGATCCAACAAACTAGTTATGGAAGAAGCTGAGCGTTCAATTCACGATGCTCTGTGTGTCATACGTTGTTTAGTAAAAAAAAGGTAATGCTTTCTATTACGTAGTGGCTTCATATACCAGTTATACAGTAAACTGTAACCACTTAAACATTTGTCGAAGGCCACAGCTTGTATTTTTTTAATAGAATTTTACTTTTTTTCCTCCCCCAGAGCTCTAATTGCGGGAGGTGGAGCACCAGAGATAGAATTAGCACTGCGCTTGAATGAGTATGCTCGCACTTTGAGTGGTATGGACTCATACTGTGTCCGTGCATATGGAGATGCAATGGAAGTCATCCCATCTACACTGGCTGAAAATGCAGGCCTTAATCCTATTTCTACTGTAACAGAGCTGCGAAACAGACATGCACAAGGAGAGAAAACAGCAGGCATTAATATCAGAAAGGTAATATACAAAAGGATTATACATCCATGATGGTAAATTAAAATGTTCAGTCTTTTTTTTTTGAGGAAAAAATACTTGAGAATAAAGACAGACAAAGGTTGCCCGTGTTGTAGCCCAAAACTGTCCTTCGTCAACCTCCCAGATCATTGCAACATAACAATTGAGCATTTTCATAGTCTAAGATACCAGATAACCAGTGTTTTTAAAAACTGACTAATTAGAAGAACTGGTTAGGAATCTTATCAGAAATTTTTTTTTGACAGGAAATGCCCTTTTTGCAAAAAATTAAATATTCCAGCTGAGAACTTCAGTTTTGTTGGGGAAAATTAAAATGATGACTTCTAAGCAGGCTGCCTGGGATCTGCTGGGAGGCAGAGCAACCCAGCTCTCCAGCTCCCCTGCAGCCTGGGTGCCTCTCTTCTTGTCATCTTCCAGATGAGCAGCCAACATGCCAAAAAATTCTGTGTTGGTTCTCCTGAAATGGAATTTTTCAGAATTTCTGTCCAACGAGAAATGTCAGGGTTTTTACTTTGTCTTAAATGGGACAATGTTTGGTTCCAAAAGCATTAATTTTCCATGGGCTGGAAATTGTATTTTCCAGCCATCTTTGCTAGTTAGTAATGTATTTCTCTGCTAAAAATCTCAGGTGCACTCAAAAAATCCTGTAGTGAGTGTGGGGGGAAGGGGGGAGAGGATGAGTTAACAGACTCTGCGATGGCATCCAGTGAAATGTTACTCTCAGTAGTTCGTTGTGTTTTTTTTCTTTAAGCCATAAGAACGAGCGGTATCACTTTTTTTGAAAATTAACATTTTTAGATGTGTGAGCACAGGATGTAGCCACCAGGGAAAATATCTGCTCAGTCTGTGGCTGTGAGCTGGCCTATTTTTTGACGCCCTCCCGTTTGCTTCCTCTGTAGCTTGGAGTGTCTAGCTTCTTGCCTGGGCATTGGACCAGACAGTAGCATTGGGTGGGCATAGCTTCACAAGTATCTGGTGTTGAGTGGATTTCCTGAGTATTGCAACATAAATTTTGTACCACAGCATTCCTGTTGGGAACTGAATGGGTTCAAATGAACTGTATATTCATTTATATATATGAATATACGGTTATGTATATGGCCATCTACTAATAAAGTACCTTTTCTCTTTAAACAGTGGTGGGCAGGGGGGCTACTGGGGATAATTTACAAGTATGTTTTAATCATCTTTGTGGCATCTGCTTTATACAAAATGATAATACAATTCTGGTTCTGTAGGGTGGAATTTCCAATATCCTGGAGGAGTTGGTGGTCCAGCCTCTGTTGGTGTCTCTCAGTGCGCTGACACTAGCTACAGAAACTGTCCGCAGTATCCTTAAGATTGATGATGTGGTAAGTAATATTTTTGATTATTATTTTCATGTTCTGTTTTATGTTATATGACAGTGCTGCAAATAAGATATATCCCTTATGTTAAGGATTAGTATTTAAAGTAAATATTTTACCATTATTGTATTTCATACCCTTATATTCCTAGGAGTTGTATGCCATTTACATGTAATTCAGAAGTCTTCTGATAACTGAAACAATCCTTGTGGGAAAACAGTAACCAAAACCAAGTATTGGTAAATACAGCAGCCAGTTTAATGTACAGATTACAAAAGGATTATATGTGGAGTGGTATCTTTAAAGTGAGGGATGTTGATAATTGTTTCCCAACCACATGCCTGATGATGTTAACTCATCTTTGCAGGTGAACACTCGATAAGGTGACTAAAGGAAATGGCAGTACAGGCAAGAGTACCATGGCGTAGTTTTGGAGTATGGTTTCTTCACAGAATCCCTATGTCAAGCATTCTGCTAAAACTCACTTAAGTTTATGTACTTTTATCAACTTAATTTAATAAAATCTCTGGTTTCAAGAGGCAAACTTCGTTTGTTTGTAAATGAAGGGGCAATATTCTATAACTGAAACTTTGCATTAAAAACTCTGGCCAGAGTAGTACTAAAACAAATTAAAATTTTACCAGTTTTGCTCTGTAATAATCATGCACATTCTTTCACACTAATCCTGTTTTGTATAAGTAAGAAATCTTCAGTGCAAGTTGTTAGCTTCTGTAATCTCTAGTTTAAAATAATTGTCTTACTAAGGAATCTTAGCAGTAGCTGCACTACCTCAGATCTGTTTCCCTTCAAAAGTTGTCCAAAACAGTAATATTTCCTATCTAGAAAACCTGACTAACATCCATCCTCTCTTACCCAGGGAGTTGTTACAGCCATTAGGGTGCATGGCAAGTATAGGATTGTACTGTGCCCTATCATTTCAAATGTACATTTCTTTCTGCAAATGTCTCTTCATCCATTCATGCCTCTATGCAAGTGTGTTTCCTCTCAGCCCACAGCCCTTCAATAAACTTCATTGTACTTCATCAATTAAAAGCTAGAAGACATTGTTCTAGGTAGCTGAAGTTTCCTTCATTAACTGTAAATAGAAATATTTACTAGCTGAGATTCTTTAACAATAAATTTCAGGGCCACATTCTAGTGTTTGGTCACTAGTTGCCATGCTAGCTTGGTAATAAACCTGCCAAACACAGCCTAATACAGGATTGAAAAGCTGATCTAATCTTGTAAATACCAATTTAGGTATTTTCTGTCTAATTTTTCATGTTTGGACTTCATGGTAATATGCTGCCAAAACCAATCCCACACTGACTATACAGGACTTTGCGCAACCTAAGACTTCTTAATATTAAACACCTTTTGATGTAGATGCTCAACAGTTGATAAATATACCAAGCATCAATTCTTGGCTTCTGATATCCCCATTCAGCAAATAATGTAAATCAATAAGCCATCTTCCATATTTGATAATTATTAAATGACGGGAGTAGTAATTAGTTACACAAAAATGGACTATTACCCACATTATCATAGTGCAGCATGATGTAGGAAAATGCTTCTGACTCCTGTGGAGTATTAACTGGAGTACAATGTTTTCTAAGAAAACGATAATGTATCAGGACTTCAGTCCTCACTAATCATTCAAATGGCCTTTCTATCTTGCCCGCTGGCGGGCCCTGCCAATCAGCGCTTCCTGCATGCCATTGATCAGATGTTTTGCAGCATCTGGAGGGGAGGGGAGCAAGGGCACAGCATGCTCAGGGGAGGGGGCGGAGCAGGGGTGGGAAGAAGCGGGGCCTTGGGGGAAGGGGTGGAGTGGAGGAAGAGCCAGGGGGAAGACAGATTAGAAACTCAGCATGTGTGTCCCGGGCCCAGCATCCCCCCTAGGGACAGCCCTGGTCCTAACTGTGGAGGATATTAAAAGCATGAGCATCTTAGGCCTGGTCTACACCACGGGCTTAGTTCGAATTTAGCCGTGTTAGGTCGATTTAAAAATGACAGCGTCCACACAATCAACCCCATTCCGTTGGCCTAAAGGGCTCTTAAAATTAACTTCTGTACTCCTCCCCGATGAGGGGAGTAGCGTTAAAATCTACCTTGCTGGGTCGAATTTGGGGTAGTGTGGATGCAAATTGACAGTATTGGCCTCCAGGAGCTATCCCAGAGTGCTCCATTGTGACCGCTCTGGACAGCACTTCGAACTCCGATGCACTAGCCAGGTACACAAGAAAAGTCCCAGGAACTTTTGAATTTCATTTCCTGTTCGGTCAGCATGGCTAACTCAGCAACACAGGTGACAATGCAGTCCCCCCAGAATCGTAGAGCATAGAATGTTTCTACGCTCCCCTTATCTCTGTCTCTGAGGTTATCGCAGATTAGAAAGCAAAAAAAACGCACTCGCGATGACATGTTTTCCGAGCTCATGCAGTCCTCCCACACTGATAGGGCACAGCCTAATGCATGTTGGTATTCAGCGACAGAGGCCAGGAAATAGAGTGTGAAGAGCAGAGGCAGGATGTGATGCTGAGGCTAATGGAGGAGCAAAGGGACATGAAGCATCTGTTGGAGCTGCAGGAAAGCTAACGAGCACAGACCCACGATGCATCCACTGTATAACTGCCTGCCCTCCTCCCCAAGTTCCATATCCTCCTCACCCAGACGCCCAAGAATGTGGAGGGGGAGGCTCTGGGCACCCAGCCACTCCACTCCAGAGGATGGCCCAAGCAACAGAAGGCTGTCATTCAAACAGTTTGATTTTTAGTGTGGGTATAATAAGCAATCGGGCCTTGTCCTTCCCTCCTTCCCCACCCCAGCTTGGCTACCTTGTCTGTCATCTTTTCTTTTTTAAATTAATAAAGAATGCATGGTTTCAAAACAATAGTTACTTTATTTCAAAGGGGGGAGGGTGGTTGGCTTACAGGGAATTAAAATCAACAAAGGGGGTGGGTTTGCATCAAGGAGAAACACACACAACTGTCACACTGAAGCTTGGGCAGTCATGAAACTGGTTTTCAAAGCCTCTCTGATGCGCAGCACGCCTTGCTGTGCTCTTCTAATCGCCCTGGTGTCTGGCTGCTCAAAATCAGATGCCAGGCAATTTGCCTCAACCTCCCACCCTGCCATAAACGTCTCCCCCTTATTCTTACAGATATTATGGAGCACATAGCAAACAGCACTAACAATGGGAATGTTGGTTGCGCTGAGGTCTGACCTAGTCAGCAAACAGCGCCAGCGAGCTTTTAAATGTCCAAAGGCACATTCTACCACCATTCTGCACTTGCTCAGCCTGTAGTTGAACTGCTCCTTAATACTGTCCAGGCTTCATGAGCCATGGGAGTAAGCAGTAGGCTGGGGTAGGTGCAACCGTGCAGTGCTGCTGGCTGGGAGAGCAGCCTGAGGCAGAAGCCTCCAGCTTGCATGATATTCCAGGCAGGACTGAATCTCCATGAGACAAAACTTAAAGAAGAGAATGACCTGGAGTCTCTAGCTCCCATTCGGTGCTCTAAGAGGAGAATAGTCATGTCTGTCTAGGCGCCCCTGATCGATCTCACTGAGGTCTGCCAGGAGCACCCAGGAAACATATGACAGCTATCAGTCCTACTCCACCATCTGCCACGAAGGCAAGGAGCTGCTGCAGTATAGCAATGCAGTACTGTGTCTGCCAGCAGTACCCAGGAGACGTACGGTGTTGGTGAGCTGAGTGGGCTCCATGCTTGCTGTGGTATGGCATCTGCACAGGTAATCTAGGAAAAAAGGTGCAAAATGATTGTCTGTTGTTGCTTTCACAGAGGGAGGGGGCCCTGATGACATGTACCCAAAACCATCCACGACAATGTTTTTGCCCCATCAGGCATTGGGAGCTTAACTCAGAATTCCAGTGGGCAGTGGGGACTGCAGGAACTGTGGGATAGCTACCCACAGTGCACCGCTCTTTAAGTCGATGGTAGTGAGGATGCACTCCGCCGACTTAATGTGCTTAGTGTGGAGATATGCAATCGATTATAAAATCAGTTTTTAAAAATTGACATATAAAATCAACCTAATTTCATAGTGTAGATATACCCTTAGAGAATGTCCTCTTGTTGGACACACTCTAAATGGACTAAAATTTTTCATGTACAGCTAGTGCTGTGTTTACTCCTGGGGGAATTCTGTGCCAAAAAATTAAAAATTCTGCACACGCTATTTTAAAATTCTGTGTATTTAATTTGTCAAAATAACAATATAATCACTCCAGTTTCAATTATTTTGATCATTTATTTCAAAATACCTGTCAACAATACACACGACAACAAAAAAGATTCCCCTAGGCATAGAGTTAAAGAAACCCCTATGACAACCCAGTTCCAGGTGCAGGGGGCTGCGTGGGGCCTCCCAGAGCCCAGACACCCACAACCCTCTTTATCCGCAGAGCCTTTTACTTCCCCCTCAGCTTTACTGTCGATCAGGGGATGCGGTGTGCTGCGGCCCTGCCCATCCTCCCCCTTTGCTAGAGATGTCACCTGCGCCCTCTCCCATTTCCGGGAGAATGAAGATCAAGTCTGGTAGCCAGAGCGTGCAGCCTCTATCCCTGGTGCACTGGGCACTCTGCTCAATGTGAGCTGGGCTCTGCAGAGTCCAGCGGCCCCTAGTGGTGGCCAGAAGCTCTGCAACCCCAATTCTGCAGGCGAAACATGGAATTCTGCACAAATTCTGCATTGTGCAGTGGTGCAGAATTCCCATAGGAGTATCCAATGCATCCGATGAAGTGAGCTGTAGCTCACGAAAGCTTATGCTCAAATAAATTTGTTAGTCTCTAAGGTGCCACAAGTACTCCTTTTCTTTTTTCACAGGAGTAGGTATCGCCAACAATTAGTTTTAAACAATATTCAAATCCATTCACTACTTTTGTTCTTTTTAGAGTATTCTTAATTAGGATTTTCCTTGTGAGTGTTCACTGGGGACTTAAAGGAGCAGGGAGTTTTAGTATACTACTTCTACTTCCAGAGATAAGTTTATACTTGAGGCATGAAAGGATTTCAAAAGTTTACTTTAAATAATCTTCACAGTATCACTGCTCCAGATGCTGCTACTTTTGGAATAGAATGAGGTATTCCAACTCAGCAGTAAGGGGCTGGTAAGGGTGCAACTGGAACCCTCCACAGCATATTCTTGCCCTGTTACTATTATGGATGAGCATTAAAACAGATTTCCCCTTCCTCAAATGTGCTTATAGTAGCCCATATAGCAAGAAGAAGTTTTAAGAGCTACTCAGGTGGCCTTTGGCCAATTAACTGTCCCCAGCTGGGCAGGGCCAAGCTCTTCCTCTGGAGTGACATTCCCATTAAATGAAAGCTGGCAGCAGGATGCCAGAAATAAACTTTCTTACTAGCTCTCTAACCAAGGGAGCTATGGGAATGGAGAGGATAGCACCCTCTCTGCCCATTCCTTAACTGATCAGACTTGATTGCCAGCATTGACACAATCACATTGCAAGCATATGTAGTGGGGACTGCACCACCACGCCATTCTTTAAGACTCAGCAGTGCTTTTGCCTTGGTCCTTAATAATTACCATTCAAGATATCTAGTGCTTCAGTAACATTTTGTTACAGTCTGTGTGCATGCATACTTCCACTTCATTGGCATCTATAAAAATTTCAGAAGGAGCCTTATACACTTTTTATAGGGTAAATCCATCTACATACAGGTACATATTTAATAATTTTCTTAGTAGAGGCATTAGCAGCCTGCTGCACATCCTTATATCCTACACCAGGTAGCACTAAAGCACTAGATGGGTTTTGCAAGTTACAACACTGGTAGCCTTAAAAGGCCATACCATTCCATGGCTTGTTTGGAATAAGTTTTTTTAAAAAGCCAAAACTAATTGGATTCAAAAAAAGAATTAGATAAGTTCATGGAGGATAGGTCCATCAATGGCTATTAGCCAAGATGGTCAGAGATGCAACACCATGCTCTGAGTAGCCCTGAGCCTCTGACTGCCCGATGCTGGGACTGGATGACAGGAGATGGATCATTTGATGACTGCCCTGTTCTGTTCATTGCCTTTGAAGCATCTGGCAGTGGCCACTGTTGGAAGACAGGATACCGGGCTAGATGAACAATTGGTCTGACCCAGTATGGCCATTCTTATGTAAGAGTTAAAATAATTTAAAATGTACTATTTTTTGTGCACTTTTTTTGCACAACCTCCTATGGCCTCGCCTGGACCCTTCTATCATCCCCACCTTGTGAGAATCAGAACCTGCTCTAATCCACTCCCTGTACAATGCAGGGTTTTTCCATTCACTGTATTTCTCCATGGCCTTGTACAACTTTAAATAACGGGTGTGAGTCACCTATTATTTTGCTAGGATGACTATTTTGACAGTAACAGGTTGACATCGCTCCTTTTATTTAATGGTCAGTTATCTATGGTTCCAAAAATATTACATGTAGACACACCTGAGCTTGGGAATTGGGTTCTAAGCAGAAAGATGTGCTCCTTGCAGTGAAAGGTTTGAAAGTTTCCACAAGTAGGTACGACTAGGCCTCTTAAGACAAACATGTGGCCCATGGGCCAGGTGCACTCTGCCTGATGGGTTTGCAGCTGCATGACGTGCAGATTTCGCAGCATCTAAGCTTTCATTAAAGCAGGTTTTAGCACTTACGGCGAAGAGCGTTTGCCCCCTCGGCTGTGAGGCCAGCCCATAGCCCTACCGCCCTGAATGCTAGCACGTGGATGGGAGACCACCCGGGAATTCCGGGGGCTGCAGACAGCCTTCCTGGGAGCAGCCTGGGCATGGGGGAGCAGCGGTTACTAGGCATGCCCAACTCTCAGAGGGGAGAGGACTCGACAGCCGCCCCCGGCAACACCAGGGCAGGTCAGGCGTCTCCGTGGCTCCCCCTCCGCCGGCTCTAGGGGTCTGGGGGGGCTTCCCGTCGTGCCCCGCAGGCGCTCTGGGGAGGGGGAGGAGTTGCAGTTTAAGCCTCCCGAGCCACGGCCTGGGCAGGTTTGTCCCAATGGAGGCGCCGTAGCGTCCCCGGCAACCGGTGTGGCTGGTAACTAAGGCCGGCGCCGGGGGAAGGAGACCGCGCCTGCGCCTGCGCCTGCCGTGAGGCCATGGACGCGGCGCACCGGGCTGCGCTCCTCACCGCCTCCTGCCTCAGGACACCCGTGAACCCGCGCACCAGGGCGCCGCTGGCTCTGTACGAGCGGGAGAGGCGCCCGCCGACCGCCGCGGAGCAGCAGGTAGTGGGGTGCTCGGCTGTGTGCTGGGAGCCCGCGGGGCCCCTCTCCGCCCGAGGGCCGGCTCGGCAGCGCTGGGAGTGCTGTTCTCCTGCCCCGTGGGGCGAGGGCAGGGAGATCCCGCTCGCCTCGTGTGCGGGGTCTGCCTGGGCTGGCGGGCTCCCGGCCGCAGGGGGCTCTCGCATGACAAGGGCCCCGAGTGACTGCGCCCCTGGGCGAAGCGCGCCAGGGCAGAGGTCCGCTGTAGGATGGGTTCTGTACAGCGCCAAGCACATCACTAGGGCTCAGTAGCTAACCTAGGGGTTCAAAGCTGCACAGCCTGTCTGTGAGCATCTGGCCACTACTAACACTAACTACTAACGTGTATCTTCGTGTATCTGTTGTGTAAGGGAGGCGATGCATTAGAAAACGAGGAAGTGCTGGCATTCAGACCTAGCAGTTACTAACCTTTTCATGGCTCTGATGCTGTGCTTTATGGTGTTCCATCAACTCCCGTGGAGGCATACAGGCCTGCTAGGAAGATCAGAATTTAGTGTAGAGATGGCTGCTGTTTGTCATAGAATTTAAGGCCATAAAGGGTCACCAGATCATCTGATCACCAGTGTATCACAGGCCACCAATGCCACCCTGTATGCTAAACCCCACAACCAAAATTAGGCTAAGGTATTTCAGCTTTCAGGCAAGGCAGAGAATAGGAGGAACCAAGGTGCATCAGTGCCTGAGGCCTCTGGAATGGCAGGAAATTGATTGAGAGCTGTACACAGATGAACCTGTCAGGAAACTTGCATCCCAAACTGCAAAGGAAGGTGAAAATTCCCCAAGGTCCTTGCCAATCTGATCACTTGACCCCCAATATGTTGCTATAACATTCTCTCATGGTAACTAATAATACTAAGGAACAAAACACTGGAGGGGAAAGGATTTACTTTTAAAATAGGGCAAGATGATCTTCTGAAGATTAGCCTCTGGATTAATAGTGTATTTTTAATGCTGTCTTCAAGTGAGGTTTTAAAACCAAGATTAATGTAAGTTTTGTCTCTTAGGAAAATGCTTTAAACCTATCTGGTATGAGAAATAATTTCTTCTATATAATGACAGCTACATTCCCAATCTACTTTTTTAAAACAAAATGCTATGAGAACTGTAAGAGATAAGGAGATTATTGATGAGAAGAAGAAAGGAAGGATTCCTCTTGTAAGAAATGGATTTTAAAGATGGGCAGGAAGTGAGATATGGTTCTAAGTTTAGGGAAAGGATGTAGAAAGGTGTGAAGGCAAGAACGGAGGGAAAGCTAAAGGAAGCAAGAGGGGATGTGAAGTTTAGCATATTGAGAGGTAGAAATAGAAGTAGATGAGAGTAAGATTATGTAGCATTATGAGAGTCAGAACAAAGACCTTGAATGTGATGCACTAACACACTAGACACTAATGGAAGGGGTTTGACATGGAGTAAAAAGGAGAAAAATTACTAAGGATGAGTACAAAAGAATAGTACGAATAGGTAGGCACAAAATCAGAAAGGCTAAGGCACAAAATGAGGTACACCTAGCCATTGACATAAAAGAGGTTCTATAAATATGTTAGGACCAAGAGAAAGACAATGGAAAGCATAGGTTTGCAACTTAGGGGGGAAAGAGAGCTCGTAATGGATGATATCAAGAAGGCTGAGATGTTTAATGCCTATTTTGCTTCAGTCTTCACTAAAAAGGCTTAATGAACCAAGTATATAACACAATTTATTAATATTAACAAGGGGAAAGGAACACAAGCAAAAATAGGGAAAGAACAGGTTAAAGAATATTTGGATAAGTTAAATGTATTCAAGTCAGCATGGCCTGATTAAATTCATCTTAGGGTACTTAAGGAACTAGCTGAAGCAGACTCGAAAAACGTTAATGATTATCTTTGAGAACTCATGGAGGACAGGTGAGTCCCAGATCTTTTAAAAAGGGGAACAAGGAGGAATTATAGTCAGCCTAACTTTGATACCTGGAAAGATACTGGTACAAATTATTAAACAATTAATTTGTCAGCATCTAGAGGATAACTGGGTAATCAATAATAGCATGGATAAACATGGATTTGTCAAGCAAATCATGCCAAACCAACCTAATTTTTTCCTTTGACAGGGTTACTGGAAGGGGGGAAGCTGTAAATGTGACATCTTGATTTTAGTAAGGGTTTTGATACTGTCCAACATGATATTCTTATAGGCAGATTAGGGAAATATGTTTAAATTACTATAAGGGTGAGTGTATAACTGGTTGAAAGACCATACTCAAAGAGTAGTTATCAGTGGTTCGCTGTCAAACTGGGAGAGTGTATCTAGGGGTGTGTCCTGTATTGTTCAATATTTTCATTAATGACTTGCCTAATGGAATGGAGTGTATGTTTATAAAATCTGAGAATGACACCAAACTGGGAGGGCTTGCAAGCACTTTGGAGGACAGGATTAGAATTCAAAATGATCTTGATAATTAGAGATGTAGTGTGAAAGCAACATCATAAAGTTCAATGAAGACAAGTGCAAAGTACTACACTTAGGAAGGAAAAATCAAATGCACAAATACATAATGGGGCGTAACTGGCAAGGCAGTAGTAGTGCTGAAAAGGATCTGGGGATATAGTGGATCACAAATTGAATACGAGTCAACAATGTGATACAGTTCCAAAGAAGGCTACTATCATTCTCGGGTGTGTTAACAGGAATGTCATATGTAAGACCCAGGAGAATAGATCATTGTCCTGCTCTTCTTAGCACTGGTGAGGCCTCATCTGGAGTATTGTGTCCAGTTCTGGGTGCCACCCTTAGGAAAGATGTGGATAAATTGGAGAGAGTCTAGGGGAGAGCCACAAAAATGACAAATTGTTTAGAAAACCTGACCTGTCAGGAAAGATTAAAAACCACCAGGCAAGAAGACTGAGAGGGGACCTGATAAATCTTCAGATATGTTAATGGCTGTTATAAAGAGGACTGTGTTCAATTGTTTTCCATGCTGTAAGTGGGACAAGAATTAAAGGGCTTAATCTGCAGCAAGGGAGATTAAGGTTAGATATTAAGAAAAACTTTTAACTACAAGGATAGTTAGGCCCTGGAATATGCTTCCACGGGAGATTGTAGAGCCCTTGTCATTGGAGGTTTTATGAATAGGTTGGACAAACTCTTGTGAGTGATGGTCTAGGTTGACTTGGTTCTGCCTCAGCGCAGGGGAGTGGACCACACGGCCTCTTGAGGACCTCTTCCAGCCCTACATTTCTATGCTTCTGTGACTGATGAACTGAGTGACTTCAGCTGAAATGTTCTGGATAGATTAAAAGAGGAAGAACGCAAGTTCCTAAGTAGAGAAGAATGCAGAAGAGGAGGGAAAATGGGAAATAAATTCAAGGACACAAGATAGAAAGGAATTGACAAGAGTTGACCATGGGGGAGGAGAAAAGCTTTAGAAAGAAGGAAGAGAATCAACTTAGTGGAGGATGTTGGTGTAGTCCAACCCCTCAAATTTTTTCCTAGTGGCATTAGGCATTACAAGAGCAAGTGTGGAAATAGTACATGCAGATAGACAGCCAAGTTTGAGAATGAGAGAGATGACGACTATGGTGAAAGAAGATCAAAGGAATCAAGAATAGAGGAGATAATGGAACTGCAGGGAGTGTGAAGGAGGAAGACGGGAGAGGGCCAAGAGTAGCAGAGAAATCAGACAAGTTTCCTGAAGATCAGAGAAAGCATGAAAGATAAAACAAGGAGGAGTCTGAATATATGGTATTGGAGTGGTCAGAAACAGGGAATTCGGACAGAGATTTCTAGGACAAGTTGCTAGGAAGTCGGAGGAGTTGTTGTTGTTGTTTTATGGGAGGCATTAAGAGAGCACAGCTAAGCTGTTTCCAGGGTGATAGCAATTTCTCTGTTCACTCAATGAAAAATATTTTGTCCTTTTTTGTATTGATGCAAATTATGAAATCTTAGAATTTGCATTTGGTGGTTTCTTCTTAAGAAATCCTTATAGCTCACTCTTCTGGTCAAGCAGTGTATTGTGCCTGTGACTCTCCCTAACAGCACACGTTCACTGAATCACAAAAAAAGGCAACCATGTGAACTATGGAGAGGGGAAAAATGAAGTGAAAATAAAAAAAATTAAAAGACCTAGTTCAGCAGGGAACCTTGGACAAACATTTTGTGCCACTCACAGTCCTCCTTCCCGCTCTCCCCCCCCCCCCCCCCCAAATGCCTCAGCTGTTTCCATAGCAGGCAGCTTAGCAAACCTTGTCTACTGTGTCCAGCTGTCTTGAACAAACAAAACACCTCAGTGGTAGGCCCATCAAGTGGCAGCCTTGTACCCGAAGCTCCAAAAGATGCTTTATTGAGGCAGCAGTGTTATACAATGGTTCATTCATCACTGATTGATTAAAATGAGGCAAGCCAAATACCAAAAATCACCCAGAGTTCCCTTGCAAAAGGATAGATTCATGCAGAGTTAATTTTAATAGCCAAGTTGTGTGCATTGCCATAGTGGCTGATTAACTTGTCCTTTATATTTACAATAAATACAGACTTTGAAACAAGTGTTTCTAAAAATCTGTTATTGACAGCATAGTAAGCACACAATGTGGTATCTCCTAACTTAGAATAACAGTTGCCAGATGGCAGTACTGCATCACTTGTGCCCACACAAATCTCTTAATGAGCTTTTTTTTAACATAGAAGTATCTGAAGAGAGGATTTAGGAGTTGATGTGCAACTCAGTGGAAAAGAATTTAGTATCTTTCCATGGATCCAAAGCTGAGATCACCATCATTTGTATACACAAGGTCAATAGAAACAAAGATACCAGCAAGTAGTAGAATATTATGCAGTATTTATGCTTGGTCTTTCATAGGCAATCTCTATCTGGACACTTTACAGCTTTATTTCCTTGTGACTGTATAATTAGTCTATGTCAAGTCGTCTGGACTGTATGAAACTTGAAATAGGATCTTGAGATGAAAACTTAACTAAAAATATAGTCAAACAAGAATTTTCAGATAGAATTTAAGATTCTATAAAAAACAAAAAAAAAACAAACAAAAAAACCCACCCAAACTTGTGGATAGAACTCTAAAGTGCTTTACAAAGCAGAGTAAATATGATTCCCGTTTCATAGATGAAGAAACAAATGAGTCCTGTAACTTAAAAATGGATCATTGAAAATAATTGCAGAAAACATTTTTAAAATATATACACTATGCTGTTTTTACTATACATCTTTCTCCAACTTCCTACAACCTTAAAAGTGTTATGAATAATGTGCTTATCTGGACCTAAGTAGTTGTTGGTAAAAGAACATGTAAACTGATAGTCTAGTGTAGGCCCCACCATTCCAAAATTTGATCTCCATCATAAGTTGTTAAAATGGGGGTTTAAATCTTTTCATGTCAGATGGCTACTTACTTTCTATTACCACAAGCATTTTGAAAATAAGGCTCCTCATGCATTGTTTAGTCTTTTTGCATTTATTTTTATATCAGAGAAATTCTTGTTTAAAACAAACAAAAAAACCAACCCCTTTTGTGTTTATACAGTAGTATCCAATAGGTGAGAAAATTAAGTGTAATTTTGACTTTTCTGAAATATATACACACAGAGTATAGAGTTTGACTGCTGTTGACTTCACTGGGCCTGGAATTTGCCTTACAAAGTATACTTTATTATTCTGCAAGTAGACTATTACAAGTACAGCAGCCTTGGCAATGATGCCATATGGTGGGTGGCATCAAAATATGTACATTTTTACCTTTTCCCTGATCAATGCCACTTAATAGATAGCTAATATTAATACAGTATTTTCAGTACTATCTGCCAACAGCGATTGTAAAGACTTTAATGGTGATTACAGTTCTTCCAGGCTTCTTCATTTTATGTTAGGCCTGCTTTTGCCCATCTGTCTGAAACACGCCTGTGTATGCTAGCTAGAGAAATGGTGTTGGCATCTTTATCTCAGAACTATGTTCCATCACGTTTTCTGACTAGAAAAGAGCCAGAATTGTTTCCTTGGCTAGTGCAGACAAGATTTAACCATGTAACATCCTGTTTTAATAAAATGTGATATAGATTAAGGTTCAAAATATTTTCAAGGGGGAGGAATGATGAGGAAGCTATACAAAAACTACTGACAGTGCATAACTGTCTCAGGACAACACTTCACAGTGCTCACCATATGATTCTGGAGATGTAGTGATAAGAGGCTATTTAGGCACAAAAGTTTGGAGCTGTTCCTCACTTTCGGGGAAGGAATGTATGTCTGAGTAATGCAGCACCTGTTATCTAAGCAAAGTGCTTGCAGGTTGTGAGGTTGCGCTCCATATGATTTTATGAAAATATGCTAATGAATGTGAGTATAATGTAACTAGAATATACTTCATGCAAAAGGTCTCTTGTAAGGTATCATTACAAAGCTTATAATCTACCGAGTGTGGTCATCCTATTTGTATAAATGTATCATTCTTGTATCTGAAACTAGAAATATGGAAATATAATTCTGAGGTCCTATTGTAATTATGCGAAGTGTGGGCCATTAATGGTGGTTTGGAATCTTGATGGCTCCCATCAACTAGGACAATTGACTATAGATGGCTCTGTTTACTTGCAAGCCTTCCTGTGAGTCAGGCCAGGAAGAATGAAGGCTTGGGGTCTCACAGGACATGTGACCATGTCACCTGGCACTGGAATCCATCTTCAACCTGATGCTTTTCCATTTAGAAGGAGGGATGGGGACCCAGAGACACAAAAGATTCCTGTCTTGTGCCAAAGCTATATAAGGGGGTGGAACAGAACAAAGGAGGTTCCAGTCATGAGAAATCCCCTAGTTACCACTTGAGCTGAAGCTAATAAGAACTGTACCAGGGGAAAGGATTGGGCCCAGACTAGGAAGGAGTCCAGTCTGTGAAAGAAGTTTATTGGAACATCTCTGAGGGTTTTATCTGTAATCAGTTTCTTAATGTATTAGGCTTAGACTTGCGTGTTTTGTTTTATTTTGCTTGGTAACTTACTTTGTTCTGTCTGTTGTTACTTGGAACTACTTAAATCCTACTTCTTATACTTAATTAAATCGCTTTTGTTTATTAATTGATCCAGAGGAAGTAATTAATACGCGGGGAGCAAACAGCTGTGAATATCTCTCTATCCGTGTTATAGAGGGCGGACAATTTAAGAGTTTACCCTGTATAAGCTTTATACAGAGTAAAATGGATTTATTTGGGGTTTGGATCCCACTGGGAGCTGGGTGTCTGGGTGCTAGAGACAGGGGAGCACTTCTTAAGCTGTTTTCAGTTAAGTCTGCAGCTTTGGGGCATGTGGTTCAGACCCTGGGTGTGTGGTGGAGCAGACTGGTGTGTCTGGCTCGACAAGGCAGGGTTCTGAAGGCCCAAACTGGCAGAGCAAACGGGCTCAGAGGTAGTCTCAGCACATCAGGTGACAGTCCCAAGGGGGTTTCAGTGATTGAATCCATCACACTGGTCACTAACTCTTATGGCTAGAAGGAAAATAATACAATTCCTTTATTTTTTAGGATGATTTTGACTTGGACTGTTATGCTGAGAGACAGCAAAGCCCTACTGTAAGTGGGGATTGTGAGGACTGGATAGACTTTCCCAAAATGTGCCACTCAAACCAGGAATACTACTTGAAGCTGGAAGAGCTGAAGAATGCCCACCTGGAGACGATGGCAAAACTGGAAAACATGTATCGGAATAAGCTGCATTTGAAAGGAGTACAGCCCCTGGACAATAAGGATGCTGCTCCTAATTTGTGTTATAGGTAAGTTTAATAATTATCTCCGCTTCTGTATTGCTTTTCATCTGTGTCATAGAGTACACAGCCAGAAGGGACTACCAGCTCATTTAGTCTGATCTCCTGTATATGCCAGGCCACTAATACCACCCAGACACCTTCACACTACGAGCAACAACCAGAATTAGACCAAAGTATTACAATCCTCAGGAGATTAAAGTATTGTGAGTGACAGGCAAAGAACAGGAGGGACCAAGGTTCACCAGTGCCCAAGGTCCCTGTAATGGCAGGGATCTGATGAAGTGAGACACACACCCAGATGATCTCAAAGCACGTTGCAAATATTAATGAACACTGCACTCTTTTGAAGCAGGGAAGTATTACTATGCTCATTCCACACGTGGATTCTGAGGCACAGAAAATCTAATGACCTAATTTTCAAAGGTGCTGAATACCCTTAGCTTCCATTGAATTTACATCTGAAAATCAAGATATAAGCGACTCCCTGAAGGCCACACAGTAAGAATGGCAGATCATCATTTGTCCAAAGATCTAAAACACTTTGCAAGTGTTAAGTAAGCCTCATAACTTCCTTTGGAAGGGTAGACATTATCCCTATCCTACAGATGAGGAACTGAGGTTAAAGTGACTTGTCTAAGGGCACACAGTGAATACTGACTCCCATTCCTCTGTCTAGCCATCATGTTTCTCCTCCAGTTCTGTCTCTTACGAAACAGGAACCAAATCCTATCAAATATTATTCTTGCCTTTCAAGCGATATCCCTTCTCTATTTGCAAGCACAACCATATATTATATTAATCTTGAATATTTAAACCACATGCAGACTCTGGATGGAGGACTTGTTTGTTTTACAGCAGTGGTACCCAAATTTTTCAGGGTAATGACCTTCCTAACCCTGCCCAGCCCCACATCCCACTCCCCGGCTGGGAGCGGAACTGTGACTCCTGGGGCGATGGTGGGAAGGGTCATGGACAGGGCTGGGGGTGGGCCTGTGGCCGGGACCGGAAATAGAACCACAGCTGGGCTGCAGTGGGAGCCAGCTGTAGGGCCCACAGCTAGGTGCCGAGGCTGGGGATGGGGCCAGGCGTGGGGACGGGAGCCAAGGCCAAGGCTGGGGATGGCCCCAGAGCAGAGTTGGGGGCGGGGCTGGGTGGCACTCACTCCCCACCCTTCATGGGGGCTGGCCCGGGCCCACCAGGCCCCCCTGAACGTTCTCCCCCTCCCCCCCTTAGGGGGCCGTGCCCCACAGTTTGGGGACCTCTGTTTTACAGTAAGGTTCTTTGCTATTAACAATGCTATTTACAGCATCTCTTCTATAATACATTTCGGAATGAAATATTGTCTGTGACCCGATAAACAACGGAAAAGAAACTTGCTACATTGCTAAAACAGTTCAATATAGACTTCTAGTGCTTGGTTAAAACACTCTTCTCTAGAACCATGTCTTTTGCCCCAGCAAAAAGTGACTAAAATGGATACCCCTTATTTGGGCTTCTTGTAGAGTAGTTGAACCCTAAACCTTGTCATAAAATTATTTTCTGGTTATTGTACATCACTCCTAAATATCTTAATGGACCTAGTTCTAAGCTATTTTCAATATATAGTAAAAGTTGTGTTATCCAGCACTTTACCAACCAGAAACCTCTGTAAACCAGCATTTCTGATCTTCATTGAAAGTCCAGTTTATAGTCCGGTTAGGAAGCCTGCCAGCCCCGTGCTACCTGGCTTCATGTGGCTCCCGGAAGCGGTGACATGTTCCTGCTGCTCCTAGGGGGAGAAATGGCCACGGGAGCTCCATGTGCTGCCCCCGCCCCAAGCGCTGGCTCTGCAGCTCCCACTGGCTGGGAACCGTGGAGGCAGCACACAGAGCTGCCTAGCTGCGCCTCCGCCTAGGAGCCGCAGGGAAATGTCACCGCTCGTGGGGAGCTGCTCAAGGTGAGCGCTGCCCCTCCACACCCCAACCCCCGGCCATGAGTCCCCTCCCGCACCCAAACTCTCTCCCAGAACCTGCGCCCTGCACCCCCTCCTGTGCCCCAGCCCTGAGCCCCCTCCTGCATCCAAACTCTCTCCCTCTTAGTTAATTGGAATTTTTGACTTACCGGCACCCCCCATTCCCCCAACATGCCAGATAACAAAGCTTTTACTGTATTTGAACTACCAGTCCCAGCCAGAGATGATGCATCTGGTGGTGGTTGTTGATCTTAAAATGGAATTTTTTTTTTTAAATGCTTATTGTAGTAGTGTCTTAATGCCTCAACTAGGTCGGGCATCTCTTGTGCTCGGTGCTGTACACACACAGAGTAAATATGAGTTTCTGCCTATCCCATGCTGCCCAACCGCCACACTCTTGCAAAAAGTGGAGTAATGCTGCTTTACCATCTTTGGTAAAGTGCCTTGCGATTTACAGATGGGGAAAAAGAGTGGAATGATTTATTGCTGGCTTTCGTCTCAAGATTAAATCTTCTTCAAAACTTCTTTTTTCCTTTTTTAGATCAATATGGGATAAGAGCTCATTTCAGCCTCTGAATTTGCATAAATCTTTTTCTGAGCCTGACTTAAATAATCTGTCCTATTCAAGTTTATGTGATGGGTCTGATGCAGAATTAGAGTTGGAAGAAGAAAATGGTAGTGAAACTCGGTCACTGACATTTGCTAAGGAGCAGATCGAGAAAATGTGGGATGGGTTTTCTGTGGAGGACTATGTCTATCACACTAAACATAGTTTACCAAATTCACCAACATTCAAAATGATGGGGAAGAAGCAGAGAGAGTGGTCACCAAAGGTCACTGTGCCTAAGCCTTTCCAGATGACTATTCGAGAAGCTAAGAAAAAACAACAGAACGTCAAATCAAAGTCACAGATAGAAATGGAAAATAATTTACTGAAGAAACAACTAGAGGAAGAAGCAGAGTGTCAAAAGAAATTCAGAGCCAATCCCGTGCCTGCTTCTGTCTTCCTTCCACTCTATCATGAAATAATGGAAAGAAATGAAGAACGCAGGAAGTTTGTGAAAGAGAGAAGCAAAGATATTCTTTTGGCCACTCAGAGACCATTTCAGTTTATCAAGAGGGAGGAGCAAAGGAAAGAAATTAGGAAAATGCAATTAAAAGACCTTTCATTGCCTGAAAAGAAAACAAAATTATTCCAAGCAAAACCTGTCCCTAAATCTGTTTACAGTCCAGCCATTAATGATAAGTTAAAAGAAGAAGAGCTCTATAGAGAAATTAGGATCCAAATGAGAGCTGAAGAGTTGCTACATAATTCATCTCTTCCCAACAGCAGATTGGCTCGTAGAACTATATATAAACAGAGGAAACAAAAGTGCAATCAACAGAAAGAACTGGAGCATAAACCAAGGATCAAATCTAGGGTTCCAGACTTTGAAACACTACACCAAAAATTCCAGAATAGGCTTCTGAAACAGAAACATGTGAAACACATCACAGTTTGTGAACCCTTCAATCTTCGTACTCCACGTATCCCATCCAACAAAGGGAAGATTCTGCAGGACATTCAAGCAGATGAAGAAAAATTAAAAGAAACACGCTGGCCATACGCCTCTCCAAGATGCAAACCTCGAATGAGGTGTTCAAGTGCAAATTCATCTCCCTTGGGACGTGAGGAATCTAAATCTCCAAGAATCACAGAGTCTACGAAAAGACGAATACAAGCTATAAGGTGAATAGCTCAGTAGTATGTTACATATAGTACAAGTTACTTTATAAATCCTTGACTGTTAGTTTATGCCACTGTTAGTTTATGCCACCAAATATTTAATTCCATATTTTTTTCATTACTGCTACAGTGGTTATTTTCGTCTTTTGATGATGTTTTCTAGCTGCTGTAATACATTTTCTTTTCCCCCACAGACATTTGAGGAAAAGGACTATAACAGCCTATTGGTTCCCAATACATACCTGAAGCCCCCACTTCTCAAATGAAACATAAATATTCCATTGTCTTGTCCCACCCTTGTTTCCTCCCTGCTCTTCTCTGTTGAATTACCTTTCACAGATCCTTCCTTATGTTCTCTCCAGAATAAAATTAATTCAGTCTTAGTTTATTTTTCCACTCAGGAAATCACTTGAGGAAAAGAGAAAGCTGGAAGAAGAGCAAAAAAGGATCAGAGCAAAGCAGAAACAAAGAGTGAAAAAACTGCAAACACTTATAACAACCCGGGCTGAGGCCAATGACCCACATCAGAGCCTAGCTCGGATGTCTAAATCCAAATTAAAAATAATCAGGTATTCTGCTACATCCCCAAAATCCTGAACCTCTAGATGCAAGTTGTATGTTTAACATACAATCCAGTAACAGTATAAACCATGTTAATGTAACTATTCATGTATGTCATAAATTAGACATTGTCAAAAATTCTAGGTAGAAAAGGGTATGAACAAATACAATATTTTGATCAATCAGGAATTGAGAACTGGTGTCCATTTTGATGAATTCAGGTTTATGTGCTGTTCCTTAAATTATTATACCACAAATAACAAGGCAGGCTTGTTTTTAAACCTGCATATAATCTGAAGAGGGAAATAAGAGTTCTCACTAATAAACACTATTAAATTAACATCTAGCTAGTACAGTTCCAACTTTAACTCCACTCTTACAACTTTCAAATTGCCAAGGAAAAATACAACCATGTTTTCTCTTTATTTTTTAAAATTTAACTTCATATTTATGTTTTTATTTTAGGTGTCTTCTGCTTCCTGATTGCTGAGCAAATATCTTTTTTTTTACTCTGATTTGGGAGTCAAATTTAATGAGAGCAGGAAGTGGGGCAGAGCTATTACATGACTCTTGGCAGCGACAAGGCCAGAGACCTTTTTCTAATGGACTGTGAATCAGAGTGCTGCTGTGGGGGAGGGTCCTTATGAAAGGTGCTATAACTTAGCAGTTAGACTAGGACAGGACTGGGACTCAGGGGAGGTGGATTCTAGTCCAAAGCTGCTTCGTGACCTTGGGCATGTGACTTTTAATTCTAGGTTTTGGTTTCCCCTTCTGTAAAATGCTGAACAGTTTTTTCTTGCAGAGTAAATGAATGAATATTCATTAATATTTGCAGTGTACTTTGAGATTGTTTCACATATTTAGTTATCTATCCTAAGTATTTATTATTATTATTTATTATTACTATTACATGGAGGAGATGATAGCAGCATTAACAGGTGGTTGTTTATACAGTTCTGTAGATATGCAGGATGCTTTAAAAATGACACGGGAACTCTAAAGATGTCTGCTCTGCAACTAAAAATGGAAGGCACCTGGACTTTTTCTGTTTTTGAAAGATAAATTAAAATGTTAAGCCCAAAACAAAAAAGAAAGATGTGGAACTCTCATTAGTTGAAACATTTGAGAAGAGATATTAACACTTCTTAAAGTACCAATCTTCCATGGTATATTCTAACTTCACCAGCTCTTCCAAAAGCCTCCAGTTTCTTAACTTTTTGTAGAAAAACAATTATATGGAATGGCTATCAAGATGAGAATGCAGCAATTAAAGGAAGTTCAATATAAATTGAAAATCCTAAAATGTATAAAGTGCGCACAAGTTAGAGCCCTGAAGTTATGCATTTAAACTCATTTGTAAGGACATCTACCTGTTTTTTCCAAATGGATTACATCAAAAAACATTAAATTTTCTTTAATTTTCCCACTGTCAAAGGTACGTTGTTGCTGTGGTAAAAGAACTTGAGGCAGTTAACCTAGTGCATAACCAATATAAAATACATAAATTTTGACTTTAAAAACAACTGCACAATGTTCTGTTTGTCACAAGCAATGTAATTTGCAGTTACTCTAGGAAGTTGCATCTTGTAGCATAGCCTGGTCTTTCTGCTACCAGTTCTATAAATAATAACTAAAGACAATCAATTTAATTTCTGTGTCATGCTATATTTATAATAGGAAACATGAGAAGCAGAGAATGCAAGAGTATCTGCAGGAGCGGGAAGAAATGGAAGAAAGAGTAAACCAGAGGCCATTGCTTTTGGAAAGAGCCACTCAGGTTGTCTTCCTACCTTGCTCTCACTCCTCAATTAAACTCCTCTCCGAATATTGCCTAAGTCAATACAAGTGTCAGTGCTGAATAGCTTTTAGAGGGTATCTGAAAACTTTTGTAGGCAGGCATGTCAATTCCCCTCTGACTATAAAACTCTGCCTGGTACCTGTCCCTATGCAAATAAAATTATATTACCATGTATTCCGGCCCAGCACTCGCTGCTGCCTGCCTGTTTAGAGGGGTGTGAGCCATCTTCCAAACATGCATTTTTTTCCTCCGTTCTGGCTTGTGTGTGAGGTGAAGAAGGGATACTGTGTAATAAAACCGTAATTATGACTTCATTATTTTCCCCATAAACACACAACATGCCGTGCACTTACCCTGCACATGAATGTGAATGCTGAATATTTGGTAATGTGACTGAGGTTGTAATTAAGGTTTTGCATTATTAATGTGATGTATATAATTTCCTTATCTTGGAGGCAGAAGGATGTTCTCTGTGGCAGTGCAGACTTTGTTACTGTCAGTGAAAATGGGCTGTGTGGCCATTAGGTCACAGTTAAGATGTACCTTGTAAATAGGCATTTCCTTCTTTTAAGGGTTTGTGTCTCGGGAAGATGTCTCACTACCAATACTTTGTTTAAAAGGAAAAAGTGTTTACCCCTGGACTGGAGTTGAGAGGTGTGTGTCTGTGGAGTGAAAGCTCTTTGTGTGTCTTTGAACATTGTGATGCATTGTGAGGCAAGTAAGTTGAGGTTGATGTGGAGGTGTATCTGGGCTTAACTGACTTCCTGGATTTTTAATGATCACGTTTATAGGAAATGCACATGAGCAACTTTATCTCTAAGTTGATTAAGGGGGTTGTTGATTACGGGTCCTCTCCCAGAACTAATTCATGTCTAAATGAGGTCTATTTACTGCTTAGTAGCTTTCCTGTGCCATGAACAACTTAGGAAACAGACCTGACCGTCATTAGAACAGATAAGTATTACCCTGGAGGCATCACAGTAAGAGCTAGCCAACAGTACTGATCAGATGTTTCATAAGGTTTGTTTGAAGGGAAACTACTACTGTTAAAACTAGTAATACAAATATGCAGCAATTAAATGATCGATTGTGACTTAAAATAATCTCTGGAGGCATGAAGAAGCAACGACTGTGGGGGCTTTTTCTGCTTGTATGAACTAAAGCTTATCTTCCTCACTCCTATCTCACCATACAAATAAAATCCATCCTAATAGATTATAGTCCAGCCTAAATGGCACGAGATTTGACTTACTTATATGTACCACACTCAAGCCTCTGTTGTCCCAAATGGAATTGTCATTGGCTAGTGGGGTTGCTCTGTCCTTTGAGGAGTGTATGAGTTATACTGCCAAACAAGGTCAGAATATAATGGTGCTGATAATTTAATCCTGTTTGTAATGTTAGCCCATAACCCTGGAGTACATTACAGAATATTCTCTATGTATCCTTGGCACTGAGGAGCAAACCTTACATCTCTGCCCCCTTTATGATGGTATGAAAAACTCCAAATACAGCAGAAACAGCATGTTTCTGCTGCAAAGAGGGTTAGGCAGAAGAGGCTTCTCCCGGGAGGATTCTGCACTATTTCTCCCTGCTATGGAGCAGAGCTCTGTGTTATGACACAGGAGAAAGTCGTATGTGGGCATGTTGAGGGTGTGGGTCCATGCACAGCACACTTCAACAGGGTCACAAACCCACAGAGAGCGCAGCAGGTGATATCTCTCAGTCAGGCCTGTCTGGGCCATTGCCTGGGACTATCTATGAATGTGGGTTTGCATCCCATCCAACCTCTGTGCCCTTCCCCTGGGCAAAGCCCTCTTACACAGGCTTTACTTGCAGGTCTGTGTACTTTTCAATAGCATTCTAAAAGAAATTCTGCCATTTCATATTCACACTAAGTATCACGCTGAATTTGATGGGATTCCGATGGCATAGGGCAATGTTCTCAACCAGGGGTATGCGAACCACTGGGGGTACTCAGAGATCTTCCAGGGGGTACATCACCTCATCTAGATATTTGCCTAGTTTTACAACAGGCTACATAAAAAGCACTAGCGAAGTCAGTACAAACTAAAATTTCATACAGACAATGACTTATTTATACTGCTCTATATACTTAGTATACACTGAAATTAAGTACAATATTTATATTCAAATTAATTTATTTTGTAATTATATGGTAAAAAATGTAGTTTTAAGTGAGGTGAAACTTGGAGTACACAAGACAAATCAGACTCCTGAAAGGCGTACAGTAATCTGGAAAGGTTGAGAGCCACTGGCATAAGGTACTATGCAACCTAATTTAGGGTATTAGAATCTGGCCCTTAATAATACATTAATGTTTAGAATGCTGTAATTTTTTTTTTTTTTTGTATAGAAAAATGCCAGAATAGCAGCAGAAAAGCATTACTCTGATATACTGAGAGAACTGGGGATTTGTGAGGACTTCCTTTCAAAAAAAAGTCAAACTGCTAAATTGCTGGACCACTCCAATGCTAAAGGCTTTGGAAGCTGCACTGAAGACAGAGAAAGGTAATAGTTACCAGTGGTTTGTTGTGTCAGTTACACACCTAGTGATAGCAAGTTAAGTTGTTTTTTAGTTTTAGAAGACAAAATTAGTTGTATTTTGGAGGTAACTATTTGGCTGCATATAGTTCTCATTTTAATAGTGTCAGTGTTTCTATAAAAAGTTTAATTCACAAAAGACAATGAAAATTATATGCTCACACAGTAAATTTGTAATCCAATATCCTCTTAAATATTTTAACAGGGGGTATATAACTTAATTCACATTTTAAAAAAAATACATTGCTTTTTCTCCCTAAGTTTTATTTCTGAACTTTTACCAGAAATCCGGGCAGGTTGTTAGGGAGAGAGTTTTTTTTTGTGTGTGTGTGTGTAGAATGTTGTTGGGGTGTTTTTTATAAAAATAAATATTTTTAAAATGTTAACTTTTCAAATGTTCATTAAATACTTGGATAAAATATTTGTATGCCAACCCTGCATAGCTGTTGCTGGAATTGCTGTTCTGTTGCTGTTGCTGCCTCCAGGAAGGGAACAGCAGAATGTGAGCCTACCCACATTCTCCCCCACAGGCTCCTGTCCTGTGAAGCTGGGCCCTGCACCCCCTCCAGGCATTACAACCTGGTGCACAAGGTCGCAGCACTGCTCAGGTTTGGCCTGGCTGCCTCTTTGTCAGGAGGTGTGGCCAAATTTGTGAGAGTGGTGCTGCAACCCCGGGTACAGGTTGCAACTTCCAGAGCAGGCAGCTGGGCTTAACCTCATGGGACAGGAGCTGCTGCTGCAGAATGAGTTTGCTTTTATTCCATGGTGTCTTGCATTTGTGAAAAACGGGGCTCTACCCATAGTAAATACCTGCCCCCCACCCACATAGAGATTGACTCTTATTGGCAGGATTTGGGCCGGAGTACTCGAGAGTTTTATTCCTCTAAAACCAATTTTTAAAAATCCCCAAGATCAATAAATGCAAATCTTCATTTTTTTAGTCTTAAAGAAGATAAAGTTCAAGAAGGAGAATCCTGTGATGGGGAGAAGGTAAATTCGCAATCTGACCAATCTTGTGGGGAGGCGGAAGAGGAGAAGGCAAGCTCTCAGTCTGACCAATCCTATGAGGAAGAGGAGGAGAAGGCAAGCTCTCAGTCTGACCAATCCTGTGAGGAAGAGGAGGAGAAGGCAAGCTCTCAGTCTGACCAATCCTGTGAGGAAGAGGAGGAGGAGGCAAGCTCTCAGTCTGATCATGATGATGAGGATGTTGTGGAATGTGAGGATAAATATAAAGATGGTTTAGAAGAAAAACCTAGTAAGGCTGAAGCTAACTGAAAGGAAGGAAGACAGACTTACTTCTCTTATTGCCTTGGAGCTCAACACACATTTCATTGCTGGCAATGGGTATATGCTAAAGAAAAACCTGACTCTTGGTGCTACAGGCATTTTGAACTGCATACATGTAGGTCTTGTGTGAATTTCCATTTGTTAGCATAATATAACTTCTAATGCTGAATTTGCTTTTTTTCCAGTAAGAAAAAATTATCATTACTCATTTCCATTAGCAGTTACACTTGTTAATGTATGCTTTATCCTAAACTTTCATTGCATGAGCACATTTCTGTGTTCAGAAATACTAGCCACGGTTTAAAACTCACTTCTTTCATTCCTTTTGGCTAATACGTAGGCTTTTACATTTCCCGCTCTTTGCCTTCATGCTGACAAAACAGGGTGGGAATGAGTCATCAGGAAGGAGAAACAGTGGTGTTACTCCATAAGCAAAGATTTTAGAGCAGCATTACCTCTCATTTCAGCACTTCTAGGATCTGCTCAGTTTTAACTAGCCCTGAATATATTCTCCCATTATGGCAGGGGAAATTTGGGTGTAACTCCCATTAAGAATGATGATGGGAGTTTCTTGTGTAAATCCTCTGGCCATCATTGGCGGAGTGGTAGCCAGAGACATCAAAATACCAACTTACTATGCAGCTGGACTATCCTTGCGACTGCTTAATGAATGCTCATTTTAATATAATTTATTAATAGCACCCCACATACTAGGGCTCTTGGGACACTGAACAGGATAACAAAACCATCACTAATATACAATAAACACATATGGAGCCCCTAATTCAACGTCTATAGGACTTTGTAATGCTAAAAGAGGGGAGGGGGAATGAATTTGTAGCATGAACTTCAGAAGCAGAATTTGTATTTTTGTTATACTGTGGATTATGTATTTGAACAAATGTCTAATCAAAGCTCCAAAATTGTGTTCTCTGTATAATATCTTTAATTGCTTTTGTTTTAAGAACCATTCCAAGATCACATGAAATAATTCATTATAATGTAATAATGAACATTAATTTTAATCTGCAAGATAGTTTCTTTATTGAAATAGTTAACAGATACTGTAAATCAAGAAATTATTATATGTTAAAAATACAACACTTGCAACTGTGTTTAAAATTTTTTTTGAGTGAGTAGAAAAAAAGGGGTTTAGTAAACTTAAGTAGTCCTTCTCCCTGTATTTGCTACTCAGCCCATCAGCTTTCCTCTTAGGCTACTCCTGAAATAAGAACCCAAGTGAAGACATAAATGCTTCATATGGAGAGCACCTTCTGGTTCCCTCTTCTATTCTGTGCCTGGCCTTCCTACTGTTCTCAATCATTGCCAATGTAGGGACGGAAAAGAGAAATATATCTGCATAATAAGCAACTGCTGAAGAGCTTCAAATAATAGTTTGCAAGCTAAATAAAGGATGATGCAAAATATCTTCACAGCACCTACACCCAAAACATCTTGGGTAACCAGCAAATATTAGTAAGTTGCATTTTTGTCTGAATACTGAATGTACAGTGGTTTCAGACACTTTTGTAATCAAGTATTAGGGTTTTATTTTCCTTTTTTCTGACAAGTTTTGCAATACTGTTAGATTATTTCTTATTTGGTTAGATCTGCATCAGGAGACTCACTAAAATTTGAATTCAGATGAAGTATATATAATTGTCATGTTTCTAACAATTCTGAAATTTTAGCACAAACGTTTAAAATTTTGAAAAGGTTAACTTTAATACTTCGATTTTTTTAAATAAAATATTCCTTTGGTGAAGTGTATAGGTGTAAATATAGTAATATAAAATAAGCGTATGTTAATACCGGACAATGAAGTCGCAGACAGTTTAAAATCTCTAATTAGGCTGAGAAATGTTACACTACAAACTCAAGAAACTGATTTGTTTGGGTTTTAAATTCACTTGTTCATCCTTCCACGATCAGAACAAGATTTTTCAGCTTCAGTTCTTTCTTTGCTAATATTGGAGGCAGTAGTGAAGGTAGATTTTGCTGACGCACGTTGTTAATGCAGAGCTGTTTGCACATCACGAGCTGGGATATTTGTGTTGCTCTATACTTAGTATGGAATGCTGATGGACTTTTACAATGTGGTGCTACTCAGAAAGTGACTGTAAAATGGCACTTTCTTCTTCGAGTGCTTCCATTCCATGCTAGGTGTGTGCATGTCACGGGCACTGGTGCCTGAGATTTTTTTTCCCTCAGCAGTATCCACTGGGCCAGCTCTAGCACTCCCTGGAGTCGTGTTGGGCCACTCATCCTTGCACAAGCCAGTGATGACACCACCAACTCTGCCTAGAGTGCCTAATCCAGTTCATTATCCACCACGAACTCCTGCAAGCAGCCGTGAGGCCAGACACTTTCTGGTTCCTTTGACCCCGGAGGCTTTCCAAGCAGCGAAGGACACACCGTCTCCTACGGTCCCACCAACTCTGCAAGGACCCCCATCAACCAAGGCGTCAAAAGATAGGAGAGAGAAAGGAGCATAGAGCTCCTTCCTGGCACCAGCTACCTAGGCACCTGCTAGGGGCAAGCCCTCCATGATCCTGACACAGTGATAATCAATCTGCTGCTGGTCCCCAAATCCCCAACACCACCTGGCAGCAGAAGCAGGTACTGCTACTCTTTGCAGTCCGAAGACTAATCTTTCTGTCGACCCAAAACCTACACTCCACCAGACTTTGATACTGATGCAGTGGCTGTACTGGAACCCTTGGGAGTTTCCCCTGGTACTGGGTCTGCCTTCCCACCACTCATACTCAGTGGCTTCAGAAAGACAGGCTACCGGCCCTTCCGACTCAGCACTGGACCCTGACTCTGGTACTGACCTCGCTGCCGACGTCCAGAAGCTGGCCCCAATGGATGTGGTAGAAGCAGAGGAAGAGGAGGGAGCCCCTCCTCCAGGGTAAGCCTCCTCCTCATCGATCCAGATGAGGGGTTGCAGGACCTAGTAGCCTGCTCCCTCAAGACTATTTCAGGGCCCACTGGGACCTCCTGAAAAGAGTTGCCGTGAAGCTGGGTCTGGAGGTTGAGGAGTTTAAGGAGTCAGCATACAACTTGATCGATATTCTGGCTGCAGCTGCTTTCTCCAGAGTGGCCTTCATCAACAAAGCAGTGATGGGACCCATCAAAATGCTGTGGCAGACTCCTCCTTCTCTGCCCCCCCACCTCAAAGACGACAGAGAAGAAATACTATGTACTGGCAAGTGGGTTCAAATACCTTTATTTGCCCCCTCTGCCCCCAGGGTCCTTGATAGTGTTGGCAGATAATGAACGGGACGGACAGGGGCAATCAAGTGCTACCCCCAAGAATAAAGATGCTAAGAGACTACACCTTTTCGGATGAAAGATTTATTTGACAGGCAATCTCCAGTTACATATCTCCAACCAGCAGGCTTTGTTGGGGAGGTACAATTTTAATCTATGAGACTCATTGTCCAAATTTAAGGTCTTCCTCCTGCAGGAGTTGAGGCAGAAATTCATAGCCATCCTGGAGGAGGGCAAGAGTGTGGCCAAAACCTCTCTACAGGCAGTTCTTGATGTGACTGACTTGGCAGCCAGGACTAGGGCATCTGCAATCACCATGAGGTTTTGTTCATGGCTCCAGTCCTCTGGCCTATCTCACGAAGTTCAGCAGTCCATCCAGGACCTCCCCTTTTGAAGGCTACTCCCTGTTTTCAGAGCAGACTGACTTGAAACTTCAATGACTCAAGGGCTGCCCTTCCTTCCTTTACACGTCACCAGCTTCCAGGAAGCATTGTAGGCCCCAGCAACCTTTTGTGGAGCCTTCCAGGCAGGAGCCCTACAAAAGAATTGGGAAGGGTTACAAACGATGCAAACCCTTCCCTTCCACCTAAGCCTCCCAATCGGGCTCTCACAAATACTCCTGTGGAGCCAAACAGGTCTTTTGAAGATGCACCCGAGGGCTTTACACCAGGCTCCAGTCCAGATCTGCTCCCTCCTTTGTTTTTCAGCCCAGCGTGGTCATATATAACGTCGGACCATTGGGTCCTGAGTATAGTAATAGTCCGATTACAGCTTTCAATTTTCATCCATCACTCTCCCACCCCCATCCATCTTCAGGGACCGATCTCATGAGCAACTCATTGCCCAGAAGGTGCAATCCCTCCTATATGTGGGGGCCGAAGAGGAAGTTCCCTGAGACTTAAGAGGGAAGGGTTTTACTCCAGGTATTTCCTAATGCCAAAGGGGGCCTATGGCCCATCCTGGACCTGCATTGCCTCAACAGATATCTCAAGAAACTGAGGTTTTGCACTGTCTCCTTGGCCTCCATCATTCCCTCCCTGGATCCAGGAGACTGGTACGCCACCCTCGACTTAAAGGATGCTGATTTCCATGGTCATAGGAGATTCCTCAGATTTGTAGTGGGTCAACGCCACTGCCAATTCACTACTCTCCCCTTCAGCCTATTGGCAGCCACATGGGTCTTCACAAAGTGTATGATGGTAGCAACCCTCCTCAGGCGCAGAGGCATGCAAGCTACCCGTACCTCAATGACTGGCTGACCAAAGGTTGGTCACAGGCTCATGTACAGCACAGTATCAGTACAATCTTGGCTACCTTCCAGGTGCTGGGCCTGCTGATAAACAAGAAAAAGTCAACTCTGGTCCCAGTTCAAAGAATAGAGTTCATCGGGGCAGTGCTTGACTCGACACAAGCCAGAGCACGCCTGCCGGATCTGATATCTGAGGTCACAGTCCACCCAATAAAGACTGCTCAGGTCTGCCCCAAACTATTGGGACACATGGCAGCATACAGTTTGCAAGGCTGTGCCTCAGGCCTTTCCAGATGTTGCTGGCATCAGTCTACTCCCTGAGCAGACTCCACTTAAACTCAACATGCATGGTCCCGCCTTCGGTCCTCGCTTCCCTAGGTTGGTGGAAAGACCTAGGATTGGTAATGCAGGGGGTACCTTTTGTTGCCCATCAACCGTCAGTAGCCTTAGTCTTGGCACGTGAGACCTACGGTGTGGAGCCCATCTCAACAATTTCAGGAAGAAGAACTTTCCCTACATATAGATGTCAGGGAACTCAGGGCAGTGCACTTAGCTTGCCAAATGTTCCTTCCCCAGATCTCAGGCAAATTGGTACATGTCCTAACAAAGAACACCGCATCCATTTTTTACATCAACAAGTAGAGAGGGGCCAGGAGGCCCTCTGGCTGTAGGACTTCTGTGTGAAACACGCCTTCACCTTGAGGCAACACATCTCCCAGAAGCCTGTAACATGCTGCCAGATCATCTCAGATCTTTTCCTCTCACCACGAGTGGTCCCTTCACCTGGAGCTTACTGGATCCATCTTCCAGAGGTGGGGTTCTCCCCAGATGGACCTGTTCGCTACCAAGCAGAACAGGAAATGCCACCAGTTTTGTTCATTGAGAGAGAGCCTGGACTGTGTCTGCACAAACAGCTTTCCTGCTGCCATGGGCAGAAAAGCTCCTCTATGCCTTTCCGCCAATTCCTTGGTTCAAAAGGTCCTCCTAAAAATCAAGTGGGATAAGGTGACAGTTACTCTGGTAGTCCCAGTGTGGCCATGCAAACATTGGTTCAGCACTCTCCTGGAATGCTGTGGCACCTCTGCTTTTGCTTCCACTCCACCCAGACCTGATTTCTCAAGACCATGGCCAGCTGCTTCACCTGAACCTTGCTGTCCTGCACCTGACTGAATGGATGCCACGTGGCTGAACCCTGAAGAACAGGCATGCTCGGAACAGGCTTGACAGGTCTTGCTAGGTAGTAAAAAGCCTTCCATGAGAGCTACCTACTTGGCCAAGTGGAAACATTTCACTTGTTGGGCCTCTGAATGGGATCTCTCTCCATCTCTATCTTCTCTTCAGTCTATCTTGGACTATCTGCTCCACTTAAAGCAGCAAGGTCTGGCGCACACATCTATAAAGTTCATTTAGTGCCCATATCAGCCTTTCACTCTCCAGTGAGTGGTAGAACAGCGTTCTCCCATGAGATGACAGTCCGATTTCTCAAGGAAAGACTGTATCCTCAGGTTCGCAAACCAAGCCCCGCATGGAACATAAACCTGATCCTGTTGAGGCTCATGCATCCCTCTTCGAGCCATTAGCATCTTGCTCCCTACAGCTTCTCTCTTGGAAGGTTGCCTTTCTGGTGGCAATCACCTCAGACAGCAGGGTCTCTAAGATCAAAGCCCTTATGTCAGAACCACCCTACACAGTGTTCTTCAAGGACAAGGTCCTACTGTGCCCCCATTCGGCCTTCCTACCAAAGATGGTGTTGCAATTCCACAGCAACCAGGTCATTTTTCTACCTGTCTTCTTCCCAAAACCTCACAAGACCTCACAGGAATGTCGGCTTCATATGGTGAATATTAGGTGGGGGTCCTTGCCTTTTTATAGTGAGAGAACTAAGCCTTTCTGCAAGTTCATGCAACTCTTTGTAGCAGTAGCAGAAAAGATGAGAAGGCTACCCGTGTCAACGAAAAAAATTTCATCCTGGATAATCGTCTGTATCTGAGCTTGCTACGAGCAGGTGAACATTCTGCCTCCAGCCATCATGACTGCTCATTCCACAAGCGCCCATGCTTTGTCAGTAGTATTCCTCGCACAGGTACCAATCCAGGACATCTGCAGAGCAGCAACCTGGTTGTCGGTTCATACCTTCATGTCCCACTACGCCATCATCCAACAGGCCCATGACAATGCCAGTTTCAGGAGAGCAGTGTTGCAGACAGCACATCCATGAACTTTGAGCCCACCTCCAAGGGTACTGCTTGTGAGTCACCTAGCATGGAATAGACATGAGCAAGCACTTGAAGAAAAAATGGTTACTAACCTTTCGTAACTGTTGTTCTTCGAGATATGTTGTTCATGTCTATTCAATGACCCACCCTCCTACCCCTCTGTCAGAGGTATTGGCAAAAAAGAACTGAGAGGGTGTGGGTCTGTGGCGCCCCTTATACCGGTGCTTATGCACATGACTCTAGGAGGCGCTAGAGCCAGCCCAATGGATACCATTGAGGGGAAAATCTCTGGCAACTGTGCATGCGGTGTGCACACACCTAGCATGGAGTGGACCTGAGCAACACATCTCAAAGAACAAAAGTTACGCAAGATTAGTAATTTTTTCTTACTCAGCAACTGCAGTTCCTGTGTTCAGAGTTGCATCTGACTAGTGATTGATGTCTCTTTGCCAAAATAGCTCTGGGAGAGTGAGCTGCATTCAGTTTTCTTGTGCATCACCACTGTCCACAAGTTTCTAATCTGTACTAACTCTAGTGAAGGCAATGGGGTTGTTCTGGGTAATGGGGTTTACCCTCACAATGCTATTTTTAATGTCATTCAAACTATCTAACCACATTTTAAGGAGTTATTTTGAAAGCAAATTTTAAGCATCAAAATTTGGGCTTCTCAGCCTTTATCATCCTTTTCAGTTCTTCTAACATCCAAAAAAATATTTTTAGAGAAATATTTGTACTAATAGTTTCAGTCTTAGGACTGTGTCTATTGAAATGGTGGATTTCTGGACTGGGTGAATCAAAAGTATGTTGGGTTAATATACTGACATTTCCCTGTTGGAGACTGATTCAAATCTAGCTTTGTTCACAGAAATGTTTGTTTTATCAGTGATGGACTCTTGGTTTTCACAAAAACATTATCCAGCTGTGTCTACTTTTGATGAAAAGACTGGAACAGCAGAAATATTATAGCAGTAAAAACCTGTATCACTGTTTTTTGGGGGTTTTTTTTTTTGATTCATGAACAGTCAGTTCCTGTCTCACTTGCCTGTTTCCACTCACTTAAGTTTCTTTTTTTAAAGGTAGTATTTCTTGTCACTTTAGTTTTGATATGCTAGGCTACAATAGTGAACTCTCAGTGACATCAACCACTGTTTTAGGAGAGAACTGAAGGACTACAATTAAAATACCCTTGGCTTAGTAAATCAGGTATGACTTCACTTACATAGCATATGTTAAATAGATGTATTTAAAATGTAATCTGTTGTTTGGGATTCCATCAATACTAACATTTTTTAGCTCACCTTTATATCTGTTTCTAGGTCTTTATGCTGAATGCTGGACAAAGTTGAAAATTAAGGTTTTTTTTTATCACCCTGTCCTAAATTTTCCACACAAGATGAGGAAAATTGGTCATCAGATTCATTTAAATTGAACAGAGTTTACTAGTTAGATCTAAATCCAATCCTCAACTGTAAAAAAAAAAATAAAATAAAATAAAAATACAATTTCACATTATCCCCTTCCCTGCTGAAATGAAAGTTGCTACAATATTTTTTGAAAATGCTTTAAGTACAAATAAAGATTCCAATAATAACTAGACCTGCCCTCTTATTTTTGTAGTTCTGTATCTTTTTCTGTGATTATATTACTCTCTTTAGCAACTTAATATCTTTAATAGCCATGTAACGGGAGACACACAGGCTTAGTCTTCACAGAGAAATAAGTAACTAGCTGGTGGATGACTGCTGAGAACTCATTAATTTCTAGAGTTGCAGGAGGCTGTTAAGGGATACTATAAGAGGGAGGGATTCAGCTGCTTGGAATAGGCAGGGCAGGATTTGTTCCACCAACTGCTCCACCCTGTCCCCTCTCCCTGCTGCTTGGAAGCCATTCACCTTATTGCTGCCATGACGCTATAACTATTAATGGAAGGATGTCTGATTGGAGAGAGGGCTCAAGTGAGGTTCCACAGGGAGCTGCTGTGGGTCTACTGTTGTTTAACATCTTTATTAATGACCAGGATGGAGGAATAGAGAGCATGCTGGTCAAGTCTGCAGAGGCCACAAAGCTAGCGGGAGGTTGCCAATACTTTGGAGGACAGAGCTAAAATTCAGAGGGATCTTGAACACTGGAGAACTGGGCTCTAGACAACAAAATTAAATTCAACACAGACAAATGTCAGGTTCCACACTTTTTAGGGAAGAAAAAACAAATGCACAAATACAGAATGGGGGAAAGGGGCTTGGCAGCAGCACTGCTAAGAAGGATCTGGGCGTTTGGTGGATCACAACCTCAACATGAGTCAGCAATGCAATGCTGTTGCAAAAAACAAAAACAAACGCAATTTTAGGTTGCATTAACAGAGACATAGCATGCAAGTCACAGGAAGTGATATTACTGGGCCCTGGTTAGACCTCAGCTGGAGTACCGTGTCCAATTTCACCAATGTATAGAGAAACTGGAAAGGAGCCAGAGGCAAGCAATAAAGATAATCAAAGGGATGGAATGCAAGCCATATGAGCAAAGGCTGAAGGAACGGGTATGTGTAGTTTAGAAAAAAGGAGATTAAGGGGGGATATGTGATAGAATCATAGACTTTAAGGTCAGAAGGGACTATTATGATTGTCTAGTCTGACCTGCAGACTGCAAACCACAGTATCTCACCCACCCACTCCTGTAACAAACCCCTAACCTATGTCTGAGCTATTGAAGTCCTCAGATCATGGTTTAAAGACTTCAAGGTGCAGAGAATCTTCCAGCAAGTGACCCGTGCCCCCTTCTGCACAAGCGAAAACCCCCCAGGGCCTCTGCCAATCTGCCCTTCAGGAAAATTCCTTCCCGACCCCAACTATGGTGATCAGCTGAACCCTGAGCATGTGGGCAAGACTCACCAGCCAGACACCCAGGAAAGAATTTTCTTTAGTAACTCAGATCCCACCCGATCTAACATCCCATCACAGACCCTTGGGCATATTTAGTGCTAATAGTCAAAGATCAATTCATTGCCAAAATCATGTTATCCCATCATACCATCTCCTCCATAAACTTATCAAGTTTAATCTTGAAGCCAGATAGGTCTTTTGCCCCCACTGCTTCCCTTGGAAGGCTGTTCCAGAACTTCACTCATCTGAGGGTTAGAACCCTTTGTCTAATTTCAAGTCTAAACTTCCTGATGGCCAGTTTATATCCATTTGTTCTTGTGTCCACATTGGTACCGAGTTTAAATAATTCCTCTCCATCCCTGGTATTTATTCCTCTGTTATATTTAGAGAGAGCAATCATATCTCCCCTCAACCTTCTTTTAGTTAGGCTAAACAAGCCAAGCTCCTTGAGTCTCCTGTCATAAGACAGGTTTTCCATTCCTTGGATCATCCTAGTAGCCCTTCTCTGTACCTGTTCCAGTTTGAATTCATCCTTCTTAAACATGGGAGACCAGAACTGCACACAGTATTCCAGGTGAGGTCTCACCAGTGCCTTGTATAACGGTACTAACACCTCCTTAGCTCTACTGGAAATACCTCGCCTGATGCACCCCAAGACCACATTAGCTTTTTTCACGGCCATATCACGTTAGCGGCTCATAGTCATCCTGTGACCAACCAGTACCCCAAGGTCCTTCTCCTCCTCTGTTACTTCCAAGTGATGTGCACCCAGCTTATAACAAAAATTCTTGTTCTTAATCCCTAAATGCATAACCTTGCACTTTTCACTATTAAATTTCATCCTATTACTATTATTCCAGCTTACAAGGTCATTCCTGTACGATATCCCAGTCCTTCTCTGTACTGGCAATACCTCCCAGCTTTGTGTCATCTGCAAACTTTATTAGCACACTCCCACTTTTTGTGCCAAGGTCAGTAATAAAAAGATTAAATAAGATTGGTCCCAAAACCGATCCCTGAGGAACTCCACTTGTAACCTCCTTCCAGCCTTCAGATACTTGAAAGGCTGCACAAAAAAGATGAAGAAAAGTTGCTGTCTTTTGCTACAGCGGACAAGAAGTAATGGGTTCAAACTACAACATAGCAGATTTAGATTAAATCTCAGGAAAAACTTCCTAACTGTAAGAACAGTGGAACAATGGAACAGCCTGCCTAGGGGAGATTGTGGAAGTTTCTTCACTGGAGGTTTTCAAAAAGCAGCTGGAGAGCCATCTGTCTTGGATGGTTTAGATACAACAAATCCTGCATCTTGGCAGTGGTTTAGACTAGATGACCCTTGTGGTCCTTTCTAATCCTATAGTTCTATGCCTTTTCCACCTACCAATAGAGCTGTCCAGAATCAGATGAGTGCACACACATACACAGACACATTAACAGAGCGCATCTGAGAGGACTGGGTTAATCAGCACTCCCAAACTGACCCCTTATATGCCCCTGGAGTCAGCAGGCTGGGTCGAGCAGCATTTCCCAGCTGTCACCCTCAATATGCCCTGGGCACCGCCCCGGAATAGAGCACGCCTGCGCAAACTGGGTCGAGCAGCACTTTCAATCTACCGCCCTCATATGCCCCAGATTCAGCATGTCCCTATCCCCACTTTCACGTTACAATTGTTCTGGTAGTAACCCACTTGATGAGCAAACCCCACAGGATTTTTGGGCGCTACAGGGATCGTTAGCTTAGGTACGAGAAGCGTTGCTGCAGAGTGAATGAGGAAGCCAAAAAAACAAACACGGGGGGGGGGGGGAGAGAGAGAGAGAAGCAACCAGCTTAACCATGAATGTTATTTATTGTCAGGTAATAACCATAGGGGAGCCAAACAAACAAAACAGTTATAATATTAAATCTAACTTAAATTTGATTATAAAAGTCAGGTTTAGAAAACTGTAACTGATCACACAAGTCAGGGTCAGAAGGCTATACCTAGAGAGAGAGAGATGGGTTCTCACCACTCCATGAAGCTTGAATTGATCAGGGTTCCCAGGTGGTGGTGGTAGCCAAGGGTCCAGAGTGCTTTCCTGCTTTTCTGGTCCCAGAGTTCCATGCGGTTCTTGCCTTGGAATTTCTGTTGTCCATTCTGTGTGCTAATAGGGATGTCTCCCTATCCCATCTTTGATGCAAATGAGGCTAGGGGAGTTTCCTTAATCCTGTCACCCTTGTCCGGAGGGGGTTAGGTGTGTCTTCCACTGCCTTTTCATTGCTTTTTGTAAGTCTTTTGTCTGATTGGCTTTGGTTCAAGCAGAGGGTGGGGGGGTGGTCTTTCATGAGTCAGACAGGCTGGGTATTGCACCCTGGTTCCCCAAGAACACAGAGCTGACAGGTAACAAAGGTTTGAAACCCAAATTTCTGCACTAGGTATGGGAATTGCCTCTCCCTTTGCAGTAATTACACTCCATTAGACACAAAGAAATTGTCAACTGGTAGAGGGAGGTCTGAGTGTATGGAAGATAGCACTGGACCCTGGAATTTATCACTAAACTTGCCCTTCTAAGAACGAATACTTGAAAGGCACTTAGATATGGCAGTTAATGGTCTGTGTAAATACCTAGCTGGAGAATATTAACAGATTCTAAGGCCAGAAGGGACCCATTGTAATCATCTAGTCTGACTTCCTGTGTAACATAGGTCATAGACCTTCCCCAGCATAATTCCAAAATCATAGTACACATGAGCTGCTGAAACAGGATGTGATGTAAGTTTCCTTTACTACTGTTATACAATATAAGCTCCACAAGTTGTTTCAACAGTTCAGCATTTTCACCAAAATAAATGCATAAAACAAATGAAGGGGATCTGCAGGGCTACCATAGAAAGGTGGCAAGGTGTGTTAACGCCATGTTAATGTGTTCATTAATATAGAAAGTATTTAAATAGCTAATGACCTATTTGTCTCATGTACACAGTCATTTTGATGGCTGCAGCAGTACAATGCAGCACTGTATAACAATAAGGAAGAAACATATTAGATGTTCTGCCGAAGCATTCATTTCTGACTGAAGTCAGGATCAGGTAATTTATTTAGATAATTATCAAGCTAACTATCTTTTATTGGTGTGCAGGGTAATCTTAATGGACGTGTTTTTCATCATCAGCAAACTCCACAGGAAAAAAGTTGCACAACATAAACCCCTGAGGTGCAGGGTCCACGTGAGTATAAATGAAGATAATTTCACTTGCTAAGAACCCTTGTGCTGGTGCCTTGTATGCCCATGCCCACTGACATCAGTAGAAGTTTTGTGAACCTATTGAGGTGGTATGGTCCTAAAAGGGAAGAACACTGGCAGATCATACTGAAGAGCCCAACTTTGTAACCTGATGCCTAAAATGAAGCAATGAGATCTGCACTTAGGCACCTGATACCCTCCAGCCAAATTTTCAAACGTGGTCACTGATCTTTGGGTACCTCAATTTTTAAACACTAACTTGACACCTTGGGTGTGATTTTTCAGAGATGTTGATGTAAGTGTGAGCTGTGGGTGTTCTAGATAGAAGCACCCACTTAAATACCCATTTCAGGCACATAAGTTTAAAAATCAGGCTTCTACAGTATTGGATTTAATTATGCTCCCACTGATCTCTAGGAGTATGTTTACGCTGCAATTAGACATGCACAGCTGGCTTGGTCTAAGAGGTTGTTTAATTCCGGCATAGACACTCGGCTGGGGCCCAGGCTCTAGGACCCTGCGAGGTGGGAGGATCCCAGAGCTCAGGCTGTAGCCAGAGCCCTAATGTCTACACCACAATTAAAGCCCGAGCCCCACGAGCCCGAGTCAGCTGGCATGGACTAGCCGCGCTTGTCTACTTGCAGTGTAGACATACCCTTTGAAGCAAGAGCAAACCCTGTTGTGAGCTGTTACATTAAATCCTGTGTTTTGGCTGGATAATAGATCTGAGTTTCAGTTTCTGTCTTCTGAATTTACTCCGCATTTCTTAAGAGTTCTTCTTACATATGGTATTGCTTCTTCCAGAAACCATCGTCTTGTGTACATAAGTAGCATGACATCAAGTAGAAGGTTACGTTCTCTCTTCCTTTAAGAATAAGATGATTACATCACCATCTTTTTGTATATCTGAATTAAACCAGGTTAACAATTGCTACTTACACAGAGAGAATTTTAAAAGAAAACTTGATTTTTAAAAGAATATGTATTAAAGGGCTGCCTACATTGGAGTAATTTAATTTTTGTGTCTCATGCTGATGTTTAGACTACAGGATGGCAGGAAATGAAAACTGATACTCAATGTGAGTCTAACGGCTTCAGATCTTTTAAAGGTCAAATGATCAAAAATGGTTTCTCAATTTGTACCTACAATTTTATTCACACACAAAAATTTGTGCTTGCAGACAGCCCTATTCTGAATTCCACAAGAACTCAAAAGTGTCGTTGTCTTCAGTGGAAGTTCAGATGCTCAAGGAACGTGGGATCAGACCTATGATTTGCCACAACAGTAGAAATGCCTTATACCCTATAATTTCGCCTGTGTTCAGCAGGGAAAGCAAGGACAAGGTGGGTCAGACAAGTTCTGTCACTGAAATAGAAACAGTGCTTCAGAGTTGGCTGACTTGTAGACTTCCATTTTGAATTATATCACAATAGCGCCAAGAGGCCCCCATGAGGATCAAGGCCCCATTGTGCTAAGTGCAGTGCAAACACACATGACGACACTTTCAGTAACTTTAGGACCCATTCCTGCAAACCTCAAAGCATGTGGCCACTTCTTTTCATATGAATAGTTCCATTAGTATTGGTCACCTGAGAAAAATTACACACACGCTTAAGTGGCTGCAGAAACAGGGACTACATTTGTGTATTTAATATTATGTGCCCTCTTTGTAGAGAGACTTTTTCTACCAGTTTTGTAATTTTTCCACAACTGCATTCCTTCCATTGTAGGGCCCAGTCCTGCAAACGTGAACATGCTTCACTTTATACATGTGAGAAATACCATGTTCATAAGTATTTGCACGATCCACAACTTGTTGCCCATATTCAGGATTTCCTGACAAAGCAGGTACATGAAGTACAACAAAGTTGGGAAATCTATGCCAGGATTGTAGGTTTGTTACAAAACCATCCTGACACTCCATTTAGATTATTTACTCTGTTTTTTATGTATCTCCCCCTATTTGTATAGGTGCAGTTGGTTGTGCCAAGTTGTCACTGTTCTAGTTACATGCTATTTGAATTCCTTATAATATGTTTCACACTCATTATAAACTTTCCAGAAGGGAAAATGGTATCCAACCCCCTTTTACATTTGTAGTAAGAAATAACAAAAATCAGTTCTTACAGCTGTTTATACATCTCTTTCATTCCGATTTCATCATCCTCCACTGAGCTTGTCCCAGCAACACATTTACCCCTTTGTGTCCCAGAATTGCAAGTTGCATCACCACAACTATTGAAGCAATGAGGGCTTTCTGAAAGAGACAGACAGACATTCCCTTGTTGTTATTCTGGGTCAGTTTTAATTGAATGAATGTGTTCTTTTCCCTTTATTCTTAAAGAAAATATCCTCTTTGCAATGATCAAGTAACAGACAGCAAGGCTAAAAATGGTCCAGATGTCCTGCTTTAACATGATTGGGGGGGGGGGAAGGAGGGCTAAAATAAATCTTGGAAACATCTTTCTGTTACACTGCAAGTGGAGATAACTTAGTGGATGTGGTAAGCGACTACCAAGTATCACATGGTCTAGCATTTCATTGTTAATGTGCTCCAATCGGCGGGGGGGGAGGGAGGGAAATGTGTTTCATCAAAGCAGTCTGGCTATAATTCTTCAAACTTTCACACACAATTCCAGAATTTATTTCAGATTATGAAAATATTTTTCCCCACTGCAAAAAATCCACAAACACACACTCAGTTCTAGCCTCACAGAACAAAGGCACAATTCCACTAAGCATCTGAAAAATAGATATTTGCTGTCTAATTCTGGGACACCTAACCACAGGGTTTTAATGTGAGGTTTGATACTGAAATCATCCACACTGTATTATGCAGGCTACAGTTTAGCTACATTCTACTAGAGTAACATCGAAAGGATTATTTATGACTAGGTGCCCTTTAAGAGCTTGTTGGGGCTTAGTAGCAACAGTATTGGTCTAACTGCCAGCCACATGGCCTGTCTAGACTAGAGTGAAAGGTATGGTATCCAAATATTTTAGTTAACACGGTCTAACTACCATGTTTGAAAGTAGAACATAAACAAAGTGGGTGAGATAATATCTTTTATTGGACCAAATTCTGTTGGAGAGAGAGACAAGGTTTCGAGCCACACAAAGCTATCTTCTGTACACTCAGACCTCCCTCTATTGGTTGACACTTTCTTTGCGTCTATTGGAGTGTAATCACTGAAGAGAGAGGCAATTTCTTAGGTTGCCATATCCAGTTTGGGCTGAAAAATCACGACACTGAATACTTAAAATATGTCACCCTGAAGAAGAGCTGTGTGTGCCTTGAAAGCTTCTCTCTGTCACCAACAGAAATTGGTCCAATAAAAGATATTTTACCTCACCCACCTTGTCGGTCTAATATCCTACAACCAATACAGCTACAACTACACAGCATATAATATAAACAAGGCCTTTCATACACGTTAAATTGGTTAAGGTACAGAGAGAAGTCTAAGCTTTATCTCGATCGGCTTAGACTGTATTAAAAAAATACATACTGCCTAGTCTACGCTAAACTTTTCAGACACGTTAGAACATGTTAACTGTCATGTTCTATCATCAGATCTTTAAATCTTAATCTTGATAAGCTCATTATTACAGGTGTAATGGTTATGATTTTACAGTTAAAACTGAATCTAGACTTTTACAGAAGCATTATTTTTTGCCACTTCTAACCTGTGAGAGGAATAACCGATTTGTTTTCACACTTGGTGGGTCACCTTATGGTATGAGATTAATTTGTTTTCTGGGAATTTGGATAGTGCAGGACTAAAGATGCGTATATGCTAACAATACAATGTGACATGTTCTAAATATTCAGTGTCATGATTTTTCAGCCCAAACTAGATCTAACTATCAAAGAAATTGCCTCTCCCTTCACAGTAATTACACTCCATTACACACAAAGAAATTGTCAACTAGTTGAGGAAGGTCTGAGTATATGGAAGATAGCCCTGGACCCTGGAACTTATCACTAATCTTGCCATTCTAAGAACTAATACTTGAGAGGCACTTAGATATGGAAGTTAATGGGCTGTGTAAATACCTAACTGCAGAATTGTTAATACATCCTGGGACATGTCATTCTATATTTTTTATGAAACTATGTTTATGATACGAATATGACATAACTGAGATATACTTTACGCAAAATGGCTCATGTGAGATATCACTGGAAAGGTTATAATTTACGGAACGCGATTATCCAATTTGTATGCCTGTGTCATTTCTGTATCGGAAGTTAGGAATATTGACTCTGTATCTGTATTTCAACTGTGCTATTTTGGGTGACGGCCACTGCTAACACTTCAGGTACAACAATGGAAAAGCCAGACAGGGAGGATGGCCCATCAGCGAGGACAACGAACTGTGAAAAGCTTGGCCTTCCTGTGGACGCTCCAGACTGGCACTGACTCATGGACGCTGTGATACTACAGGGTCAGGTGGTCTTGTCACCTGATACTAAAACATTACCTGGGACTTCTTGTAACTTTCCACTGTAAAGGAAGGGGGGAGGCTGGGTCAAAGTTGGGAAACAAAGGATTCCCGCCTTATGTAAATCCTATTTAAGGGTGGGGAGGAAGGCAAACAGGACTCCTCCTTTCCTTGGCCTGTCTGCCTAAGAAAGACTGCAAAAGGGAAGGCCAGGGGGAGTCCAGACTGAAATAGGGGTCCAGTCTGAAAAAGAATATAACTGGAATTCTGAACCACAGAAACTTTGCAAACTGCCTGCAACAATATCTAGGGTGAGAAATACTATTCATAACCAATTTCTGTAATGAAACTAGCTTAGTTTGCGTGTTTGATTTCATTTGCTTAGGAATCTGCTTTGTTCTGTTTGTTACCTATTTTACCACTTAAAATCTGCCTTTTATAGTTAATAAAATGTGTTTTGTTTATTATTAAACCCAGTTTCTGTAATTTCTAACTGGGGGGAGGGCAAGAAATGTGCACATCTCTCTCCACATTGAGGGAGCGGCCGAATTTCATAATATATCTTTGGGTCTGTACTCCAAGGGAGGTGGACATCTGAGTGCTGGAGCAAGACCCTTAAACTGAGGCTTCCCAGAGCTGACCTGAAGCTGGGTGTGGCCCTGCCTGTGTGTGTGTTAGAGGAGGTTTTAAGAGCCTGGCTCAGCAAGACAGGTTAAAGGGACCCCATGCAGGCAGAACAGATAGACCCAGCAGTATCTTAGCACATCAGGTGGCTTTCCAAGGGGTCCAACCCGTCACACATCCCTCACAGAGGACCTATCTAACAGGCTTTAGACATTAGCATAGATACAGTATAATACACACATTACATAAGGAGTTTTAACTAATTAAGTACCCACAGCAGATTTCTCAGGGATTAACTGAATTTAGTTGCTTAACTAAATTGCAGGCTCAAAAATAATATACGTTTATCTGTTTTATTAATATGGAATGTAAAGATGAGAAATTATAGAAAGTAAAACCAAGTTGTTATGACTACTTGCAAAGTTTAAATGAATGAATTTAACAGGAATCCATTTAAACACTGATGAATTAATAACAATATTAAAAATCAAAATTTTATCACAGATATAACCTTATTATATTTTTTTACTGTTCAACTAACTTCTAGTCTAGTGATAAATATGAATTAATCATAATTAAGTCTAAAATAGTTACCCTTGAGTTGGATGCAATACCTTTGGTATTAGAAAATTATAATCTATAATTTTTAGACACTCTAATGATGTTTTACTACCGGCTACATGGGATCTCCAGCATGTCTCCCAACTTGAAGTCCTCCATAAAAAATGGTTACCAGCCTTCCATAACTGGTGACCATGTGGAAATTTATTTTCTTGAGATAGCTGTTGAGGTGGCGCAGATGTAGAATTGGTCTGAGACCTCCCTTGGCTTTTGGGATTAAGAAATAACGGGAGTAGAACTCCTTCCCTCTTAAATTCTGCATAACCTCTTCCACGGCTCCAACCCAAAGAAAAGATTGAACCTTTTGGACCAGAAGTTTTTCGTGACAGGGGTTCCTGAATAGGTATGGAGAGGGAGGGTGAGAAGAAGGGGAAATAACCTGTAAAACGTAACCCACTTCCACCACGCTCAACACCCAGTGGTCTATGGTGATATCAGACCATGGATTTAGGAAGTGGGAAAGGCGGTTTGTAAACAAAGGAGAAACAGGGTCTGACATCATGGAAACTGGTATGGCGTCCTCAAGTGTCATATCAAAACACCTGCTTAGAACCCCTGGATATCTGGGTGGGGCAGGTATCAACATCACAGTAGAAAGGAGGGGTGCCCTACATCTAAAACCCCTGCTTCTTTTACTCTGCAGATCCTGATGGACAGGCAGGGCAGAGTACTGATCAGGCTGTTGGGGCCTGTAGTGCTTCATTGAAGTTGCTGGTGTGTACAAACCAAGTGACTTAAGGTTGCATGAGTTTGTTCTGAAAAGAGCAAAGCTCCCTCGAAAGGCAGGTCCTGAAGGGTTTGCTGGACTTTCTGCAGGAGACCCGAGGTCGGAAGCCATGAACTCCTGCACATGGCCACTGCCAAAGCCATGGACCTGGCTGCTGAGCCAGCCACATTCAAAGCAGCTTGCGATGACGCCCTTGATACTGATTTTCCCTCGTCCACCAGCGAGGAGAATTCTTGCCTGGCCTCTTGTGCGAGCAAGTCCTTGAACTTCTGTCTGGAGTCCCACATGTTGAAATCATATCTGGTCAGCAGCGCCTGCTGGTTTGCCATCCTGAGCTGCAATCCTCCCCCGCCACCCATAAGATAAATTTTCTACCAAACAAATCCAGTTTATTGGAGTCCTTTGCTTTTGGGGTTGCATCCTGATGGCCCTGCCTTTCTCTTTCATTGGCAGCAGATACCACCAGGATGCTGAGGACAGGGAGGGAGGGGTGTACAAGAACTCATAAACCTGTGCATGAACAAAGTACTTTTGTTAAGACCTTTTTGATTGGGGGGTGGGGGTGCAGCAGCCTGCCATATGGCTTTAACAGGGTCCATAATGGCCTCATTGAGAGGCAGAACCACTCCTGAAGGGCCTGCAGTGGCTAAAATGTCAACTAGGCTGTGGGAGGATTCTTTCACTACCTACACCTGTATGCCTAGATTTAAAGCCACCCTTTTTAACAACTCTGTGTGAGCCTTAAAATCATCCTGGGGAGGGGACATGCCTGCTTCTGAAACAGCCTCACCAGGGGAGGAGGAGGAGGAGGCCAGCACAGCTTATGGACACTCTTCCTCTCTTTATGCCTTGGCAGGATCCCGTTGAGCTGGCTCCTGTAGTTCTGTGCCAGGTTTAGTACCAGAGTCTGGACCAGTTGCAGCCCCATGAGACAGCAGTGACCTTTGTTTCAAGGCCACCAAATAAGAGCACCTAGAGTTAGTTCCAGAAACTGGGGGGAAACCTCATGGATTCCCAAAGGGCCACTGGACCAGCATAGGTCCCCAGTGAAGACCTGACCATGCACTTGATGGCACCCCTGTGCCTGGGCCATGGATGGGTAGGAGCATCTGGGGGAGTAGCAGGGACGACTCCTCAAACGAGAGGAGTAAGATTTGAACTCTGACTCAGAAGACAAGTCTATCCAGTGACCATGGAGGTGCAGTTCCCACCAGTGCCGAAGACAAGATACCTACACCGAGGCCAGCATAGCCAGTTTCCCTTTTGACAGTACCAAAGGGCCTGGCATTGAACCATGACCAGAAACAACAGGCTCCCTCCTGACCATCAGCACCGATACCACTTACCCTTGTACTGCCAGTCATACTGGTACCAAAAGTGAAAGAAGTTCTCTAGCTGCAGCAAACGCCTCCAGCCTGGTCGGCACTGAGATAGCGTTGGTACCAATATTATAATGCAGATGTAGACTCATCCGGTACTGGACTTGATGGTAGTTGCATAGGTGCCGGAGTCAACAGTGCCGACTTTTGCCGTACCGAGGCAGAGGAGTGCCCTGACCTAGGTCGCACTCTACTCTGATACCCACAGCGGGCCATCTTTGGTGCCAAGGACCGTCCCCTCTCGGCCGACTGCTTCTTGTGCCTTTTCCTAGGCACTGGGGATGGTGAACGGTGCCGGAACTCCAGTATGATAGGAGGAGCATGCCTTATCAAAGCCAAGGCACTCTGCGCTGAGTCAGACTGACCTGGTTCAGTGCCGCCTCCATTAACAAAAACTTCAGCCTGGCCTCCTGGTCCTTCTTCATCCAAGGCTTAAAGTCTCTGCAGATCTGGCAGCGGTCTCCAACGTGAACTTTTCCCAGGCACTTCAGACAGCTTGAATGCAGGTCACTCAGGGGCACAGCCTTGTTGCAGAAGGCACAGGGCCTGAAGCCCGGTGACTGAAGCATGCCTCGGTACCAGGGAACGGACAAAAACTCAGCTAACTCAGTAAGTTAAAAACTTACACTAAAACTATTTACAACTATCTAACTATGTCCAAATATACGAAACAGAAGATCACAGAGAGAGCTCGCCAAAGCAAGGATAGCTGTTCCAGTGATTGTCACGGGCAGTAAGAAGGTTAGGGGAGTTTATACCAGGGCTATGAGCACACAGCACCAGAGGGCGCTCAAACTGTCCTGACGGGTACCACAGAAGGAAAAATTTCCGGCAACTGTACTTGGGGCATGTACATACCTAGAGTGGAATGCACATGTGCAATCACTTGAAGAAGAAAACAATTTCTTTACATGCATTGCAGACAGGTGCTTAAGGAGTAACTCGTCCTGTTCTCTTGATTATTTTAATGGTCTATAACAGACCTCTAGCAGACCCTGTTCTGGGCTTGGTTAGTTAGCATATTGATTTATGTGCACTCAAGAGCCTGTGATTCTGAGTTATTGTTAACTCTAAAACAGATATTGGCATCTTTAATGAAGAGTGCCACTCCCCACCCATCTTTTATCCACGCTATTCTTTCCAAACAGATTGTAACCACTGATTATAACACTGCAATCATGCAAATTGTCTTGTTTTAGTAATGCTAGTGATATCAAATTTCTCCTCATCATATGAGGAGTTCCATTTCCTCTTGCTTATTACCTAGACTCTTAGCACTGGTATATAAAGAATTAAAGAAATTCTTCTCTCTACATTCTGTGTCCCCTTGGTTCAATTTGTTCACAACATACTAAATTTGCCTTTCTCCTGCGTTTGCCTCCTTAGCACCTTCCCCTTTCACCAGGCTTCAACTGAGATGATTAGCCCTCCCTACCTGTGATATGCCGGCTGTCCCATTTGCACAGCCCCTTTCCCCCCTGGAATGCAGCCCACAGTTCCACAAAATGAAACCCTTCAGCTTCACACCAGTCCTGTGGCCAACGGTTCAACTCCAGTATTTTCTGCCTTGTACCTTTTTTCACTCATGGAACCGGAATGATTTCTGAGATTACTTGGACTTTCCTAATAGGACTTACTTAATAGCTAAGCCTTGTGCTTACCTTGTGCGCACCCTTAACCCAAATAAGCACTCATGATCTGATCCAACTCCCACCCAGCTGAATGGAAAGACTCCCATTAACTTCAATGAAGTTGGGTCAAACTCTTACTGACTCAAAGCTACTTCTAGTTTCCCTTTAAATTCAGTAATAGCAATAACCATAGGTAGTCTGTAACCCTAATCTTTATTTATACTATACTCATCTTACTTTAACCAAATGTTAAAACAACAGTTTTAACAACAGTTAGCTTCTAACTCAGCAAAAAGTTCATGCCCCTTGTTTGAGAAGCTGGCAATTTAATGTCACATCACAAATCATGTGTTACCAAAGAAATTTCTCAGAGTCAAGCAAATAGAGCAGATTTAGCCCAACACCTGTACTTCTTTCTGAAAACAGGATATTTTCAAAGATTTGACATACCTGCATCAATACCAAATGTGCTTTGGTGAGAAATTGTTAGTATTTCTGCATTGCCATGAACCACTGAAGCCAAACAGCAGCAGGAAGACCTATTCTCCAAGGCTTTCATTTTCTCCATAAGTGAACTGTTCTCTGTGCTCATCTATAGAAATATAGGTGTTAATGTATTAATGCAAGACAGAAAAACCCATCAAAAGCAAAAATGTAATGAGCTCAGTTAACTCTGAAGACAACAGGGTGCTGTCTACCACGCTTCACAAATAACATGGAGAATAATGTGAAAATGAAACATCAAAAACCCCATCAGATGTTGTATTATAATGTTACACTATCTGCAAACACCAATACCCACCAACAGAGCTAGGGCTAGTTGTAAAATGTGTACAGACAGTAACACATGCTAGCATTGGTGGGGCAATAAATAGTGTGTATAGTGCAGTTCTCCATGAAAAGCGACTGTCAAAATTGTGCCTGCTCTCTCATCAGCTCTGCTACCCATGTGTATTCTATGACTTCACTGACACAAATGTCAACTACCTTTTACGCCTGTTCTCACTGTAGAGTAAGCACAGGTCTAGCAGTGTGAGCTGGACTCTTCTGGTCATCTCATTCAAATTCACCTTAAAAACTGACTTGAGACAAATAAAATTAACGAAAAACCTGCTCCCCAAGAAGTGTAAATGCACTTGTATCACAACTAAATTCTAGGTTGTGTTCTCTTTGGTAAAGGAATGTTTGTTTTCTGAGGCTCCCAGTGCATCTTAGGACATGGTACAAGTAATAAATGCTAATGATGAACAGAAGAACTGTTAACTAAATTCTGACTGCAGATTCTTTATTGGTGATGGATGGGCCAGAAAGAACCCAGCTTGGCTTTCTGACCCAGTTTGAGTTTGCAGGGCTGGCAGTTAGAATAAACATCTTTTCCCATGTAAACTTAGCAAACATGATACTGCACACTGAGTAACAATAAACTTGGAGCCCCACAGGGCCATTTTTACAGCCCCCCTTTTCAAAGTCAAAACACACTTTAAAGAGACAGCAAGTAGTCCTGCCAGGCAGGATAATATACAATCGTATTAATTCATCTTCCTTCCCATGGCTCTGACCACATCTCCCCCTCAGCAGAAATCCACTCTGTACTACTTGTGTTTATTGTAATGTACTTGTTTGCCTCTAGGTGGCAAGCGCTTCAGGGTGGTGATATTGTTTTATGGATACTTTTTTATTACTGTAAAGAACAGTATTCATCAACAGCACTATGCAAGTAACAGTATTTGAATGATGATGGCTATTCCTTCAGGCCTATGTTAGCCAGTGAGTACCAGTTGGTTCTGATACTCTGGGGTGGTTTACGGAGATCATATTCACTTCTGAGCACTTGTAGACGCATGTAGGTACAGTGAAAACCTGGAACTTTTTTCTCATGCCCTTGCACATGAGTGAGCAATAAGCTACTTCTCTGTAAATATTATTTGCCATCCATTACACTGTCCATAGCAGTACTAAATTATTGTTTTCTTCTTGATATTTGACTGACAGACATCTCTTCATTCTAGCACTTCGTTCTGTGATGTGATCAGCCTGAGCTGACTTCATTGTTTTTCCTTTTTTCCGTTTTTTTCCATTGTTTCAGATACCTAGCAACCAATGTTTGAGAGAAAAACAATCTAGATGAGTCAATCCTGCTACATCAACAAATACAGGAAGGAGAAGAAATTGATCTTACATCCAGGCAGAGAAGAGAAGGTAAAGGGAAGGGAGAAGAGATGAAAACAAAACAAGATGTTACATGTACTGTGCGTCATGCCCATGAACTCTGTACACAAATGAAAGCAACGTAGCCAAATTGTGCTTTCATGTTAACACTAGTCTCAATCTGAAGTAACACCACTGAAATAAATAGGACTTTGTTTCAAGTGTGATGTTATTGACATGAACTGTGACCGTATAGATCATTGTTGCAACCAAGATCCTATAGTCACACCAAATCTTATACAAAGGCGGTCAAGTAAAGTGTCTATAGAAAGGTTGTAATTTGCTAGTTATGATTATGTTGGCTGTATGTATCATTTTTGCATCTGAAGTTATGAATATTGGCTATGTACTTGTATCTCAATGTGTTTGATTCTAAGTAGCATCAGTGAACCATTTGGTCAGCTTCTTGAGAAAGGACTATTCTGCGTAAGTGCCCAATCAAGAAACACTTAACTGACAATGGACTTTGGGAGACGACAATCCACATCTGAGCTTTCCTGGGCACGTTCAAACTAACATGTAAACAATGACGTCGGCCTGAAAAAAGCTAAATCATTCATGGACATGTGACTTGTCCAGGTAGCTACAAACTCCATCTTGTTGCTGTGATTTTGCACAGGAAAACAAAGGGGTTTCCGCCCACAAGAGAGAGAATATAAAAGGCCCTGGAAGCCTCTCCTTTTTGTCCTCAGCTGGCTCAAGAGATGGCCTCTCCACCCCAAAGAGATGCCTGAAAGAAACTGGGACAAAGGACTGTAACTACGGGTGGGTGAGTGATTGCTGGACCCAGGCCATAAACCACAACATTGGTCTGAAAAGTATTCGGCCCAGACTAGGAAGGTGTCTAGTCTGTGAAAGAAGCTTATTGGAACATCTCTGAGGGTGAGATTTATGCACCAGTATAAGGGGGAGGCGCCGACCCCGCACCCTCTCGGTGCCTTCTTGCCAGCCAACTCCAACAGACAGGTAGGAGGGTGGGTCATGGAATGGACATGAGCAAAACACCTCAAAGAACAACAGTTACAGAAAGGTTAGTAACAGATTTTTCTTCTTCAAGTGCTTGCTCATGTCCATTCCATGTTCAGTGACTCACAAGCAGTATCCAAGGAGGTGGGCTCAGAGCTCATGGACATGCAGGCTACAACACAGCTCTCATAAACCTGGCATGTCTCGAGCCTGTTGGGTGATGACGTAGTAGGATGAGAAGGTATGCACCGACAACCAGGTTGTGATCCTGCAGAGGTCCTGGATTGGAACCTGCATGAGGAATGCTGCTGAAGAGGCCTGAGCTCTTGTGGAGTGAGCAGTCACTATGGCTGGAGGTGGGACATCTGCTTCCTTGTAGCATACAGGAAGCTATTCAGCATGAGAGCCTCTAGGCCGATGCTGGTAGCCCTTTCATCCTTTCTACTACTGCTACGAAGAGTTGCATAGATCTGTGAAAGGGTTTAGTCCTCTTGATGCAGAAGGTGAGGGCATGCCTAACATCCAATAAGCAAAGCTGCCGCTCGTCTGAATTCTTGTGAGACTTCAGAAAGAAGACTGGCAGGAAAATGGCCTGGTTGCTATGGAACTGCAAAACTACCTTTGGCAGGAAGGCCAGGTCGGGCACAGTTGGACCCTGTCCTTGAAGAACACCATGTATGGTGGTTCTGACGTAAGGACCTTGATTTCAGAGACTCTTCTTGCTGAGGTGATGACTACCAGGAAGGCAACCTTCGCAGAGAGAAGCAGTAGAGGGCACAACACCAGGAGCTCACAGGGAGGTCATGTGAGCCTCAACAGAACCAGATTTAAGTCCCACAGGGGGGGATCATCTCACAGGCCTGAGGATAAAGTCTCTCAAGGCCTTTAAGAAAGCGGACTGTCATTTTGTGAGAGAACACTCACCTGCTGTTCACCTGTGGGTGGAAGGCCAAAAATGCACCTTCATAGATGCGAGAGCTGACCTTGTTGCTTAAGATGGAGCAAGTAGTCCAGGATCGACTGAAGGGAAGGCTGAGTCGGAGAGAGGTCTCTTTGGGATGCCCATATCGAAAAACACTTCCATTTGGCAAGGTAGATAACCCTAGTGGACAGCTTCCTACTACCCACCAAGACCTGTCAAACTTGTTCCAAACAGGCCTGCTTCTCCGGGTTCAGCCATGTAACAGCAGTTAGCTGAAGGGAGCTGAGGTTCGGTTGGAGTAACCGACAGTGGTCTTGAGAGATCAGACTCAGGTGGAGCAGAAGCAGAAGTGAGGTTGCTACTGATAGATCCAGCAGCATGACGAATCAGTGTTGGCATAGCAACACCGAGCCTATAAGAATAACTCTTGCCTTGTACCGTTTGATATTCAGGAGGACCTGTGAACCAGACAGATCTGTCTGGGGGAAATGCGTAGAATAGGAGTTCTGTCCAACGAAGCAGGAAGCCGTTGGAGAGGGAGCCTGGGCTGTGCCCGCTCAGTAAGCAAAACTGCTGGCATTTCCTGTTCTGCTTAGTTGTGAACAGGTCCACTGGAAGACACTCACCTTTGGAAGATAAACCTGGTGACATCTGGGTGAAGGGACCGCTCATGGTGAGAGGAGAAGGATCTGCTGAGGTGATCTGCTTGTGCATTCTGGGCTCCCAGAAGGTGTGAATCAGGTGGATGGAGTGCTTCACGCAGAAGTCCCATACATGGATGGCCTCCTGACACAGGGCAGAGGAACGAGCTCCTCCCTGCTTGTTGATATAGAACATGGCCACAGTGTTGTCCGTTAGAACTTGCAAGACCTTGCCTGTGATCCGGGGAAGGAACACTTGGCAAGCTAAGCGGACTGCTCTGAGCTCTCTGATGTTTATGTGCAGGCAGAGTTTTTTCTGGGACCACAGGCCTTGAGTCCTGAGGCTGTCAAGGTGGGCTCCCCAACCTAGGACTGACATGTCCGAGACTAGGGACACTAATAACTGGGGCGCAACAAAGGGGACTTCCATCATCACCGACCATGGGTCCTTTCACCAGTCTAGGGAGGTGAGGATTGGGGTTGGAACAATAAGCACCAAGTCCAAGTGGTGTCTGTTCGGGGTGTAAACAGATGCTAGCCATGTCTGCAGGGGCCTAAGGCACAGCCCTGAGTACCGGACCATTTACGTGCACGTGGCAATGTGCCCCAGTAGCTTGAAGCAAACCCAGGCTGTCATGATTGGGTGAACCATGACCTTGGATATCAGGTCCAACAGTGGTCTGTAATTGGGCCTCTGGAAGGAAGGCTCTGGCATGGGTCGAGTCGAGCACAGCCCTGATAAACCTATTCTCTGAACTGTAATAAGTGTTGACTTTTGCTCATTTATCAACAGGCCCAGTGCTCGGAAAGTGGGTTGGACCAAGCTGATGCTGTTCTTTACTTGAGCTTCTGAAC